ATTTTGATATGGACCTGATCCGAATATGATGTAATTACTGTTGAGAATGAATCACATATTGACGGTGGGAGGAACTTTGCTAGGCTTATAAGTAAGTTAGGCTATCCTTATATTGTCAATTGGTTTTATGGTAGAACCACAACTTTTTTCATGGTATTAGAGTAGTGTTGACCCAAGTGTGAAGCCCCACGGCCACACGTGCTCCACGTCACTCAATTCTCCACGCGGCTTGAAATTCACCACATGTGAGCGACTGTGTGAGGATGTGAAGGTAAAAGAGTCACACATCATGAAAGAAGAAACCTTACAAGAGAGTATAAGAGGTTGGGCCACTCCTTTTATTGTCAATTGGTTTTATGTTAGAACTCAACTTTCTTTTTTATGGTGGAACTTCAGCTTTCTTCATAGTATCATAGCAGGTTGTCTCATGTGTGAAGCCCAAAGGCCATACATGCTCCACCTCACCTGTTTGTTTGTATTGTTTATGTATTAGGTTTGAAAATTTGCACACGTGAGATAGCGTTTAAGAATAAATCTCACATTGATGGGAGGATGGACCTTACATGGTCTTATAGATAAGTTTAGTTACTCCTCATATTGCCAATTGGTTTTTTGTTGAAACCTCAACTTCGTTCAATTATATGAATCGAGGTTTCCAATCTGATTATCCGAATAAGATTCGAGTGAATAATCCAATTATAAAGGAATCCGGATAGATGAATTATGGTGATCCGATCCGACTTAACACAACAATTTTTTTTTTTTGTGAATATTATACTTGTTTGCAATATCAATTTAGTTCTTATGCATGTAAAATACACTTATAACCCTATTTTCTTATTAAATAATAGAAAAATTCTAATTAAAAATAAACAAAAAATATTAAATGAAATTACTAATGATATTTTTTTGGTCAAATGATAATTTTTGTTAGATTAGTCATCAACAGGATTTCAAACTTACGAAAGTCATGCAAGAGCTCAACACTTTTCCACCACTGTGGTAAATGGCCACTTGCTATTTTATTTTATTTTATTAATTTAAATAAGATCTTATATGATGAACTGGGTGGCGTGAAGCATGTGTGTAGGCTCAATAGATTTAGACATATATTGAGCCAAATGTGATAAACTGAATTAGACATATATTGAACCAGCACCAAACCCAATTTAAGTTGATGTATTTTTTAAGTACAACCAATTGTATACATATTGTAAGTGAATATGACATTTGAGTTTAAAATCTCCAGTATAAGGAACAAGTATTCTAAAATTTGTTTTCATTTTAGACATATATTACCATCTTTCTAAAATAATTATTATGCACTCAAGACACTGGAGTGGTAAATGACTATTTTAATTGATAGTATACTAGTGCAAACCCTAAGGTTACACTTAGCACACCACAAAAAAGAAACCAGAACTTTTTTACATTTAAAAGAGGGTTTTTACATTTGAAAAGGAGACAGATGTGAGAGAGAGAGAGAGAGAGAGAGAGAGAGAGAGCGGCGGGTGTGGGGATGTTGGGGTGTCTAATAAATCACCTAAGTAATCGGTTCTTGTAATGTGTCAACTACTTCAGTGGACAACACTTAGCCTTCAACTCAATCTTTGACGGGTCATCCATCCATCCGCCCCATTGGGGGCACACTAACCGTGGATTTTCAAATTATTAAGGGAAATAGAAAAAGATGACACTTCATTGCATAATAATTGGACAAAATAAGATTTTTTTTTTTTTTTTTTTACATTTTTAAATTACCAAATTGCTCTCGTATATAAATGAGTTGTTTCCTCTTATTTTCTAATTTCTTTCTCTCTACTCGCTCTCTCTCTCCCTCCATCTTTCTTTAAAATTGATATTTATTGGCTATTCTTAGATTAGTGAAAGATAACGGAAAATTCAATTGGAAGATTTGATTTATTTGGAAATTGTTTGTGTTTGCTTATTGGCCCTTTTGGGAAATGAACACATTTATGTGCTTGCAATTACAGATTGGGAATTTTTTCCTTAAATCATCATTTTCTTTCTCAAATTCGAAATCTCATTCAAAACTCATCTGGGTCAAAACCGATTTGCAATCCAAAAAATTTTTAGATGTCAAAGAAAATCCATTATGAAAAACTAAAGACACCATTTTTTCTGTTGCAATCTCTCTCCTTCGCCGATGAATGCCTTATCCCTCTAAGTTCAAAGAATATCCCAAATTTGTTATCTGTATCAATACGTGTAACAACGTTGGTTTTGGTGTGGACGTGCATCGTGTAATTAACGGCGTTGGAGGATATGTGGGGCTTAGATTCTAGAAATCCCTTAAAAATCTGTAGTTTACAAATCTTTGACCTGAGCCTAGATTTTGAAAATCCCATTAAAAATCATTTATTTCCAGTGACATACACAAGACATGTACATGATATGTTCACAAATTTAAGCCAACCAAAAAACCCTGAGCTCACAACTCTCTCATTGAAATCAAAAAAATGACGTCATCACATGTGATATCACCACCATATACACTATACGCATACCACATGCACATCACATGTACAATACATGCGCATGATATCCACAAAACTGGAGATTGAGCAACGAGCTACTTTTCGCATTAATAAGAAACTTAACGTCGACCTATTGGTATAGTGGATACAATTAAAACATAATTGTTGCGTATATAAGGTTACAATGGCTGTTTGAAAAGTCTTGTTACATATATCAATCATCGCTTGACCGTGCACGTAGAAAACATGATACTCGTTGTCGTTATTTCATGGACATGCATGACCCTTAACGCCTCTAAACCTTTTCTTAATTTTGTTTTTCGCCGAGGCCAACTAGGTTGTGGTCATACTCGCTAAATTCCAGGGCCCAACATATGTGCATTATAACTAGTAAACATTCTTGCTTCTCATATTAAGTTGTAGCCAAGCACACCACATGCACATTACAGAAAAAATTTTACAAATTTATGCAATTGAGCACTTGAACCAGAAATTGTTCCATCCCAGTTTTGTAGCACGTTAAAAAGTATAGTTTATTCCACAACCCATAGGCCCCAACATGAAACACAAACCCTAATTTAACTTCTAAGTATTAATTAATCTTACAAACAACCCATTTATTCCATAAATCATTGACGTAGAAACTTGGAACTAAAATAACAAAAACCCACAAACAAATGAAAATTTCCAGAACACATTCTGAGCCCTTTCTTCCTTATCCCTCTTTTCTTCGACATCCCATCTTTGCAAATCCAAAAAACCAATTGAAAAAAAGAAGTAATTAGATACAAAAATGGAGACAATGACTAAGTGAAAGAGAGAAAGAGATGAGAGAAAGAGAGAGATAAACCAAATGGTTGTTGAAATATGGCTGCCGAAGCTTTATTCATCGAAAAAATGGAACTTTCCGGCCAAAATGGAAAATCTAGTATAAATGTCATATCTTTAAGGATCGAACACTGATACAAACTAGAAACCCTCACTTCGAAGCTTCACTCTTGACTTCCCTCTCTTCAAAATGCAAACTCAAAGATATGAGCTCAACTCAAAAACTTAGAGCTCACAGAGCTCTTTGGACATCCCGCTCTTCCAAATGAGAAAAATGATGCAGTGAGCTGAGGATGCTTAGTATTTATATGTGGGTATTTTAGTAATTTTAGTTATGTGCATGGTGTGCATGACTTGTACATGGTTTGTTTTGCTTATTTATGTCCCAAGATTAAGAAAATGAGTCAATTTTATCTATTTCCCAATTATTAATCCTAATAAGGTTCAACCCTTCTCCCTTTTTTATCAACTTTTTTGTGGATTTCTCTTTCTATCATTATCAATGGAATGCCCTTATTAGTAAAGCTTATGGGTTGAGAAACCTGAGTTTGTGATCTGTCTGTCTTTCGTATAATGGTTTTTGTAATAAAACAAGTACATAAAATCTGTTTGTCTTTCTTATAAGCAGTCGATCTCTTGTGTCTTTGTCCCTTCACGCCAAGTTCACTATTTCCATCTGTTAGCAAAAGATCGTTCTCCCGTGCTTCCAGACATGCTGAGCTCCACATATTCATGTACAGAAAAAGCGGGGGGTCGATTCTGCGAAAGATAGGATCAGTAAATGGAAATTCACTGAGATTGAATTTAAGTGGGATCTTCAATAGTGGTACCGAGGGTGTCTTTAGAGTATACCGAATCAGTATAGCTATCCTTCTTCTCTTCTGACACAGCAACGAAATTTCAATCAGTTTCGAGACCCAGGATTCTATTTTATCATCAATCCAATCACCGTTCACGTTTTTTCTTTTTCTTATCAATGAATGGATCTCTTTACTTGTATGACTTAGATGTCTCGTATTCCTCGAAAAAGCGCGGTAACGGTAAATCTGCGAAAGGGGGCGCGAGAAACTCTCTCTAAGGAACTCGACACTATGGTTAATTAAGTCTTTTGCATTCCTTGACAAACTTCGGAAAACCCTTTGTCCATCTCCGATATCTCCTTCCCTCTGTTTTTAATTTATCCGGAATGAGTTTTCATTTTGTTATTATTTTTTCCTTTCTTTTCTTCTTTTACTTTTTTATTCAATTCCATTATTTCTTAAGTTTCATAGGTTTGATCCTATAGAATTTAAAGCATTTTATCATCCTCAGGGTTCGCTTAAGAAGTGTTTTTTAATGACTGAAAGTGCTTTTTGAGAAAAATATTTTTGTAACCAATCCTTAGTAAAAATGCAAATTAATTCTAAAAAAAACACTTCAGTATTTTTGGAACTCAAAATCATTTTCTCTAAAAACGCTTTCAGTCATTTAAAACACTTCCCAAATGAGCCCTTAATTAATTATATTGTCTAAGTTATGAGTTTCACACAACATACTGCCATAATATTTCAGTCCATTTCATATCCACGAGAAAAACTAGCATGTCATCACAGCAATTTATGATCCAAATATTGGATATTTGCTTCAAAATATGAAAGGCATTCGGGCGTCACAAAAATATAACATAATTGTACCTAGCTAGGAAATACAATTCATTTACTCTTAAAAACTGTATTAACACATTGGGATGATTTCCATTCGAATATAATACTTGGTTGACCGGAAAAAAGAAAACAAAAATACCAAATTGGAGTCACCGAACAACGTGGCATATTACGATATGACGATTTAGCTATTACGAACAAACGAGGTTCAAGGTGAAATCAAATATGAACAAGTGAAGCACAACTGCATCATTTGAAGCGAAAAATCTTGAGTTCTACTTTGGCATCCCTAGCTTTACTCATTTTCATCGGCGTTAACCTTAGGGCTACCTTCAACGAACCGGCGCCAATACCAATGCTTCGCCCACACTGTGTGAACTTGATCCAGCGGGATTCCTTTAGTCTCCGGCAGGAAGAGCGCAACGAAAATGGTCATCACCAGAATCCAACCGCCGTAGAACAAGAATGTGGCGTATTTGAAATGGCATAACATGGACAAGAAGGTTTGGGAGAGAACAAACGTGGTGGCAAAGTTTACTGCTAGCCCCATGCTTTGGCCTGTGGGTCGAATTTTCATGGGGAATATTTCACTTGGGATAAGCCAACTCAAAGGTCCCCATGACCAACCAAAACCAGCAGCATAAAAACACATCATTACAAGAACTAGTACGGCATAGCCCTTTGAGATATGGCCGTTGCCATCCGTACCTGTCGTAGCTGCCAGAACTATAGCCACACCAACCTGCACAAAAACATTTCAGATAAGAAAACTTTTCTTCTTTTACATAGATAACGATCACCCTTTGTATATCTTGACTCGTCTGAACTTATTTTTTGAATATGCAAAAAGGGTATAATAGCTTTATCCACATAAGGGTTTATGTTGCAATATAGATGTTTATGATAATAGACTTTGAATATAGACTACTCAACCATACAAAAATTAACTTGATCAATAGTCATATAGTCTAGATTCACGTCTTACAACGTAACTAAATAAACAACTTATATTGTCAAATAGTGTGACTATAACGATATAAATAGGGATGTGATATCCACAAACTCATTTTTTACTTCTCACACACCCTTTATTAATTTATGTTTTTTGATTTCCTTCAATTCATTATATCTGACGGCCGAAAATTAAGATGGTGTAGAAAAGTAAAAATGGATATGTGGATGGCACACCTCCTACAAATATTCTTTATTAGTGTTATATTACTGAACTGTGAATATGGACTACCCCCAATCAGACTAAAATCATCTTAATCAGTATTCTAGATTCACCATATTATAAAGTAACTAAATGAACATCTTAGCTTGTCAAATGGTATGACAATGTAACATTGCCCTCCCATAATAAATAAATAAATAAATAAATAAGGAGTTTATTTTGCAATTTTTTCACAGTAAACTCAATATACCATATTAGCTAGATGATAGTTACCTGACAGATGACCATCTGGATGCCACCCTCCATGAACAAAAACCTCCGACCATGCCGATCAACCATATACGTAGACACAAGGATCGAACCAAGATTCACCAACCCAAGTATAATCGAAGCAATAAGAGCAGAATCATTGCCAAAACCCACAGATTGAAACAAAACAGGGGCATAGAAGGCAATGATATTGATCCCACTAAGCTGCTGGAAAAACGGCACAGCAAGCGCACCGATCAAAAGCTGAGGCCTATACTGCCTCTGAAATATGGTCACAAAAGGCTCCTCATTGAGGGTTCTGGCAACTTCACTGGCCTTGATAAGAAGGGCCAGCTCCTCCTCGATGTTGTTCTTGCCTCGGATTTTGACTAGGGATTTTCTGGCTTGGTCGACCCTGTTGCGTTCTACTAAGCTTGTGGGTGAGTCCGAAATGAAAAGGGCGCCAACAGTCATGATGGTGGCTGGGACTATGGCGAGGCCGAGGGAGAGACGCCAGCCCCAGCTGTGCTTGGCGGTGGCGTAGTTTATGCAGTTGGATGCCACTACCCCAATTCCTATGAAGAACTGAAAGCCTGTGCTGAATGCACCTCGCCACTTGGGTGGTGCAATCTCTGAGAGGTAGATTGGAGCAGACTATATTGTGACAATATTACAAGGGATGTTAGTAATGGATGAAATCAAGGAAATATACACAAAGGAACCCGTGGGCCATTTAATTAATTCACTCTTTCTCTTAGACAAGTAGGGCAAATATCAGATTCACCTCTATTAAAAATATGATACATCAAATGATCAGTTGTCATGATATAAAATAATATCGATCACATAAAAAAAAGAGACACGTGTTGTAATTCAGAAGAAAGTTTCCCAAAGGACAAAAAATGTTTCTTTTCCAAATAGTAGCAATAATCTGTAGTAATATCAATCACATGATAAAAGAGATAGACACGTGTTGTGATTCAGAAGAAAGTTTCTCAAGGGACGGAATATGTTTCCTTTCCAAATAGTAATAGTAATATGTAGCACATGCTTAGACAAGAATCAACTTGATAAATCCATAAAATGGTAAGAGTGTTGTGAATATATTATATGATATGATTATGCAAATCCGCAGTAAAGTTAAGTTAGGAATCTTATAGGGAAGTGTTATTGGTACTCCAAAAATCTCATTCTACATTCCTCACAAGTGTATTTTTCTTTCCCATTATAGAAAGTTTGGAGTGTAGAATGAGATTTTTGGAATGCTAATAACAATTCACATCCTATATTGTATCTTTCTTTTAAACTTTGTATTTTTAAGGAGCAAGTTTCTCTCCTTCTATTGTTTACTATAAATAGATACACTGACAAAAGAGAATAGAATATACAATTCTCCCTAGCCATATTTCTCTCTCTCTCTCTCTCTCTCTCTCTCCCGCCACCTCTCTCTCCTTCAGTTCAAAATAGGTGACAACAAAGAGAACGTCTTCTGAATCACAAAAAAATAAAAAAACATTTTCGATCATTTAAAATGCTTCCTTTTTTTATGGGTTTGCATGCTCTTAATTTGCAGGCCCAAGGATATACATAAAGAAAGTCCACTTACTTGGTTTGTGAAACCAACCCCAAAGCCGAGCAAGATACGGCCCAAAATAAGCATGGCAACATTGACAGCGCCACCATTGATCGCAGACCCAGCAAAGAAGGTGCAGCCACCCAGAAGCATAACATTCCGGCGGCCGATAGTCCTGGCCAGACGGCTGGCCACAAGCGACGCAGCCAACCCCGCTATGTAGAGGGAGGATGTGAATGCTGTCAAAACCTGGCTATCATACACACAATATATGTTTTTTGGGGGCCCTCCCTTTCTCAGCACTTCTGGGAAAAACTTGTTCAGAAATGGTGCCATGGTAGTTACTCCTCCTGAGAAAATTGTTTATGTTCATGATTAGTTTCATGCATTTGATGTGCACCAAAGTTTATGATAATTGTAGATGTTATTCATTAGTTTCATGTGTATAGCTTCTTTGCGTCAGTGGAGGTATATCTTTATTTTTTACATTCGATTGTATGACATACTGTTGACCTTAAAAACTACCAAGCATACGTGGTGCGCAGGTCAAGTAACTAATAAGCTAACTACGTCCTTCAGTTGTGTGCGAGGCATGCCAACTCATCGGCCGAGCTCGGTCGGGGAGTAAAATGTGTTAATGTGGCGTTGAGCGCGCTGCTGACTTCTCGATCTTGCAACTACGGCTGAGGAAGGAACACGTCTTAGTCTTTAGGTTCTAGAGCCTGAAGACAAGGTTACTAGTTCTACGAAGTTCACAAATCGTCGGTGTCGTGTTCGGTCTCAGTAATTATATTCGTGAGATTATAAGTACGCCGAACTAGCACCAAACTATACAGACACAGGTACTCGAAAGAGATAATGTCTTGATTGTAAATGTGGTTTGGCCGTCAGAGTGCTGAACTCTAAAATGTACTTATGAATATCCAATCATAAAGCAATACTCGGCTTTCAATGTGCCAAGTCTAGTAACCTAGTAACACCTCACTTTGTCGAGAAGGTTGATGAGATGACCTCTACCAATAAGAACTAGAAAATCCTTCTTGATCGAGACTTAGATAAATAATCAGTCGATCTCGAAGCAATGCTGTTTATCCAAATTGAAGGTGCATCTCGGTCGGCTAATTCTACGGCTACAGTACTATTTATCCAAACTGAAGATGTCGCCGGTTGCCTTCACAATGCTGTTTATCCAAACTGAAGATGTGTTGGCTGGAAGAAAGGGGAAGAGGAAAAATTCTCAAGGTTGTTGAGAAGCTTTGCACATGGCAATTTGTGTGTTGATTTGAAGGGGCCTTGAATGATGCACTCCCTTCTCTATTTATAGCAGCAAACCTCCTCATGGCCGAACTAGAAATGGACTAGGATTAGAACTCCTCAACGCAATTTGATTAGGTTTCGGCCAATCCTAATTCCTCTTTGAACTAAGCTCCTTAACAAACTAGATTCATCCCCTAATTCTTAGCATTTTTAGCCTTAAGATTCTTTATTGCACTAGGATTCGATTAAATCACCCTTATCCAAACCTAGGCTCAGCCCAAAACGATATTTTGGGCCCAAACACATACACAAAAATATATTTCTAATTGTAAGGGAGAATGCCTCATATTTGGTTGTTTTTATATAACAAGTATGATTAGAATCAGATAATTAAAATTGAACACCGCCAACTGCAAGACGAAGGAGATCGATTTGAGCTCGGTAGCTGGTACATGTCTTTTAGTTATCTTGCCAAATAGTTTGACATTTTGTAATACCAAATAAATAACAAGATGAATTCTTATTCCAATGTTCTCGACGAAAGTTCGCATGTAAAAAATTATTAAATTATTATTAGCATTCTAAAACAATAAATTTGCACCCGTCTTCCATAAATAAGTAAAAAAATAAAAGAATTGTATAGTCGCAAATATGATTCCTTTTCAAATGAACTAGCCAAAAACGAAGTCAGAGAGAGGTATGGAGAAGAAATTCTGTGTGTGTGTTTGTTTTTTTTATTGGGCTTACTACAATTTCTCCACTAAAGGTTTGAAAGTGGTTTCAAATTAGGCCATGAAGTTTTAATTTTTTCACATCGCACTTCAAAGTTTTATAATTGTATCAATTTACATATTTTGTCTATTTGAATGTCTAATTCTTCATTAAATTAATGAATTTTTTAATCAAATTAGTACAAATTTGGTTCAAATGTCAGCCAATTACAGGTTTCATGCTTACCATATCATAAATTTAATGAAGATTTGAATAATCCATTTGAGAAAAGGCATAAATTAATATAGTTTTACAACTTCAGGGGTGCAATGTGAAAAAAAAATTAGAATTTCATGGCCTAATCTGGAAATCAATCTAAACCTAAAGAGTATAAAATTTAGTAATTAGGCTTTCTTTTTGGAAAGGGATCCACTTTGGATCCCTTCCTCCTAATTCACTTCGGAGATCTAGGCCGTTGAAATTTGATCTAATGACTACAAGTAAGGACCCGCTTTAAAAGTTATAATAACTTTAGTCGTTGGATCAAATTTCAATGGTCCGAATCTCTGGACTTGGTGGATTAGGAGGAAGGAATTCGGAGAGGGTCCCTTTCCTTTTTTTTTTTTTTTAAATGTAATGATAAGAAGACCATCTATTATAACTATATTTTAGAAACCATATAACATGATTGTTGATAATTGAATTATTACTTAAATATTGATTAACATATTTATTTTTTTTATTAAAGACACATCACATAATTTACAAATTTGATCTAAAAACTTAGTTTACATGACTTTTTTTTTTTTTAGTGTTTCTTTGCTAATAAAAGTGCAAGCCCATGCTACGTGGCGTCATAGCTCAAGGACGTGTCACTACTTGTTACTAAATTATTTATCTATGTTTAGTTAAAAAGATTTCGTATCTATCGAAGCTTGTGAACCACTTGGTTGAATTTATATTTTATTTTCTTGGGCATTTGAAATTTGAAGACTTTAGCAACCTAACCTTACTGGTAGAATAGTCTATCATCAAATAATTCATAGAGAATAGTAAATTAAAATTAAAACGAGAATACTCTTCTATATATTTAATATTAACAATATTAGTTGTAAACATTTTTTTTATAAAAAAAACATTTTATTATTTTTTTTTTAACATTTTTTTATTGGCAACGTACATGTCAATCAACTAATAAACTAACAAATGGTTAGGGTAGCCACACACTCATTTTTACTTCTTACATATCATTTTCAAAGTTCGATCGTCGGATTAAATGAATTGAAGAAAATCAATGATAAAAAATTACCAAAAAGTATGTGAAAGGTAAAAATGAATGTATGAATAACACTGTCTCTAACAAATTAAAGGGACACTTCTCCCTTGCATTAAGTCATGAGTGGGTGATCCTAGCAGCCTCTTATGGCGTATAATAAAGTTATAAACACATTAATCTAGTTGAAGCTTTTTTTTCTTTTATATAAAGTGATGTCTTTTTTTTTTTTTTTTGTATAAGATTTTTTTTTTTTTCACAAACAATGATCTACATTAATATATGCTAATAAGCGTAAGGGAAGGGTTTGGACTTAGAAAGCAATGGGTTAATGAGAAAGACCATAACCAACAGCAATCCATCACTTGTGCTTTTATAACAGTATGGGTAAAGCTTTTTATTTTTGTTACTTATAAGATCTAGGTATGTTTGATAAAATAAAAATTCAGGTGCTTACAGAAATTTTCTTGATAAACCATCGTGACATGAATTAGTTTTTAAAATGTGCCATGAACTTTTTATAAATAAAAAAATGTTTTCATGATTGAGTTTTAAAATTGTGCTAAAAAAAGAGACAACCTTAAAAATTCATCAAGTTGCAAACCCAAACCGGTTTAGATTTTACAAAAGTTTTACAAATTTTATGGGGCACTTGGTATATCGTTCATTAAAAAAATGTTCCGATCTAATATCTATGGTATCTTCTTATGGAGATTATGGAGAAATTTAGCCTAACAGTCAACAGCATAAACCAAACCTTTAATTTGGCTGCCAAAAGGTCAAGAGGCTTTTATATAAAAACATTACAACCCATAAATGAATTGTCAACTAGATTGAGTAAAATATAAGAAAAATTAATGAAAATGGCTTGAAAATTTTGAGTTTTAATGATAAAGACAAAATAAAGGGTAAAATGAATAATATTAAGATTGACTTTTTAATGTTAAAATAAATAGTACCTTAAACTTTTCGTTAAAACTCCCTAAAATATAATGCAGGAATCGTAGCTAGCTAATACTTGTGAATTATTAAAGCAACTACACCCCCACCCAATTGGAAGGGAGATTGGGCGATTCAATATACTCTCACCGAAACCAGCAAAATGAGCTCCACCCCAGATAAAACAAGTCGACTTACAGTCAAAAGAGGGCGGCCCAACTGCTCACTCAGGTCAAAATAGCCCAACCCCAACGCCTGAGGGAGAGTGACGTCACCACGTTATTATATTTTTTCCGATAGATGCATGGGCTTCACGTGCATGAGAGTCCGGTCGTTCTATTTGCACAGATTTCTATCCTATGGTCCAGATTTTTTCAACAATTTTTTTTTTACAAAAAAGGAAAAATAAAAAATACTTAAAAGCTGTTGCCACCCATGTGGCAAAATATGGGTTGTTGAATTACAAAAAAATGTCATCCAACGGTTCATATTAATCAAGTAAGAAATAAATATTAAAAATTATATATTAAAAAAATGTAATTACCTATCCATGATACGTAATTGAATCGGCAAAATTTTATTTTCGAAATTATACATAAATTTATTTTTTATTTATTTTTTAAGAAATAATTTTTAGTGTCAACTGTCCGGAAAATTTATTTTAAGGGTAAATATGCATTCGGACAGTTATTATTAACTAAGGTAGTAATTACCTTTACTCAATAGCTCAAGTTGTAATTACCTTAGTGGGCTGGAGTTGCTCTTAAGTCGGTTTAACACTTTACTATAAAAAAATTTAAACATGAAATTAAAACAATATATCTTTACAGTGCCAGAAAACTAGAACGAGTGTTAAAATTCCGACCATGAGAAAAATGCATACCAAAATTGCTACCCACCTAATATTGGTACTAGGTAAAGTGTGACTATCCATGATTTTCTTCTGAATATCTACAGGCTACAATATTGAAGTTAATTTCATTCATCGTTTCTTCTTTTTCTTTTTTCCTAAAATATAAGAATAAAAATAGTTTTTGGATGATTAATGTAATTTGTAACAGCGACATACAGAGAGAGACAAAGCATTTCAGATAACAATTTAAATTTCGAACGTTAAAATTAAGGAAACGACTAAATTATATAATCAAAACGAACGCACCTGAAATTCCGATGTCATAACCAAATATGAGGCCGCAAGACGCGGCGACGATGCACGTTATAACCACCGAAACTGTTATCTTCCCGTCAACGCCAGTGACGGCCAGAGGTCCATCGACAGCGAAACCACCCACGGCCATTTGTTCCGCTCTTTAATTCTCACTCTCCTTTCCTCTCTTATTTTCTCAGGAAACAAACAGCAGGTATCGCTCAAGTAGTCCGCTCTTGGACAGCTGCAGTTTTGCAGAGAGTATACATGTGCTGCTTGCCCGAGAGATGGGGGTCATAAGAAAGTGATTAACTTATAAGCAAAGACTAATGGCGTTGCAATAATTAATTTGTTTTTGTATTTAAAAAGACCAAAAGCCCACGTTACCCGCCACCTTAGGTCCGTAACAAGAAAAGCTACCTTCCAGTAAGCAGGTCTATAGTTGTAAATTACAGGTCATTTTGTAAACCCATTATGCATGCATAATGTCCAATGTCCATTTCCCTACAAAAATAAAATCCTAATGAGGGAAAAAAATGATAACTATACACCATTTTCCTCTTTCTACACGTCCATATTTAATCATGTTTGTTATTTTTGTTTGAGTGATTCAATCTGATGGCTATTAAGGGTTCCACACCATTAGTTAGATGACTAGTTAAAATATTGTACAAGTCAACAATTAATTAGTAAATTTGTTAATATTTGTTAGATTTGTTAGGATCTATTATAAAAACAGAGTTGTAATAATAATTCTCTAAGGTGAATACAAGTCTCACATTTTTTTTCTCTAAACTTTCTCTCTCTATACTTTTTCTCTCGGTTATTCTTTCTTCTTCAGTTTCTCTACCATTCTCAAATATTTCAATGTAATTAACAATGATTAGAAACAAACAAAGATTGTGTAAGAGGCTAATTTTTTTTTTTTTTTTTTTATAAAAATCAGCTCCCAAGAAAATCCTGATGAGAAAAAACAACACCATTGTCCATTACTTTATCAAATGTAAGTCTTTACGTAAACTTCAAAAAAGATGCAATCATATCACACGCATCAACTAAATCCATATATGAATATTCGTAATTAGGTTTAAAAAGAGCGGGTATTTGATGATATTCCGAATTATGAATGCCAAATATTCAAATTGATCAAAGACGTATGATTTCTTTGACATTCATAATTAGGTTTTTTAAGTAAATTTTGAAAGAATAATCACGTTAAAAAAGAAATCATGATATTCCTTTAGTGATGGAGTATCAAGCTTCAACACGTTCACTTGAATTAGAAAAATGAATTGACCAAAAACAAAATGATTAGAAAAATGAAAAGGTCACATGCATGCAATTGTTTATAGATTAAGCTAACTAGCTAGGGGTGGGTGGTTGGTGATGAGACGAAAGCGTGCACCTTCCCTTCCACTATTTCCTTCTGTTTCCGTTGAATGCAAAGTTTGATGTGACATGTGGCAGATGAGATGGCTTCCACTACCTGCGATTAAAGGGAATTACCGATGGAAATGTGTTAATTACCCTTTCTTTTTCCTTTCTTTTTTATCCATACGTGTTTATGTGGTTATTAATCAGTATTTTCTTGTTGATATGTGCTTAGGTGGTAATTAGTATGCGTTGTAACCTACCTAGCACTACTAGAAAAAATCTAAAAACAGTAAGTTGTGAATTGCTATAGAGAATGAGGATTTCCTTTTTGCTTATTGTGTTCTGAGTTTAAATATTAGGTAATATTAGAAAGATTAAATATGTGAACAAAATTTTGTAAACCAAAGAACATAAAGTTATCAATTGAATTATTACTTAAGCATTAATAAGTGTGCTCATCCTATTGCTAACATATTATTTAGTTTGTAAATTTTGTCTCTGTAACATTACCTTTAATCTTGTCTCATTCTTTAGTAAAACTTAAAATATAATCTAAACTACATTAATAAAATTTTCTTTGTCAACCGAAAGAGGGTGAAAAGATAATTTTATCTTCTACCAGAAAACAAAATCATGGATGAAAAAGTAAATTCACACAAACTAAATTTTACAGCTTTTTTTGTCAAAACCTTATCCAAGAGTGATTCTAACATCCTCTAATTTTGAAAAATAAAATATAAAAAGAAAAACATCTCTGTAATCCACATTCATTTTTTCTCTCTTTCTCCTTCCCATTTTAAAATAAAAATAAAAATTATTTTCACACATAAAGTGTGGGACATATAAAAAAATTAAAATAAAACTCTTAAAACGCAGCATTAAAAGTTATGGAATGTCAACTCACCATAAGAGAATACGACAGAGTTTTTCATGAATAACTTATCACAAAAGCTTCTTCTTCATGATAGATTTGACTTCACATAGTGAAGCAAAATTGTACAAGATTCGTGCGAAGAGTTGAGTTTGAACATCGTAAGCGGTGGCAGATGAACAAATATCGAGAAGAAAAACCCAAACCCCAAGGAAACACACTGGACAATATTATATCTACTGCCGTGGGCGTTGAACCTGTGTAGTGGATGGGTGGATTTGTATTAGTGTTGTGATTTTCACACTCTTAACTACTTTTTTCATACCTCTTCATATTTTTTAATACTTAATTTGTATCCTACTATTTAATCTTCCATATATACCCCTCCCTATTTAATCTTTCATTAATTACCATAAAAAAGTAGGAAGGGTATATATGGAAGATTAAATAGTAGGATATCAATTAAGTATTAAAAAATAGGAAGGGGTGTGGGAAAAGTAGTTAAGGGTGTATGAAAATCACAACCCTTTGTATTATTAGATTTTAGAGTAAATCTCAATTTACTATCCTCAAGTTTCGTGATTTTCAACATTTAGTACATAAAGTTTTTTTTGTCTCAAAGTCATACCTAAAATGTTAATTTTGGGACAGTCGTATAAATCCGTTAGTTTGGCTATTAAGTCTCCTTATTAACTGATGACGTGGCGCCCATGTGGATAATGATTGGATATCATGTGTCATTAAGGCGTCCACATGGAAATTCAAAATTCAAAAAAAAAAAAAAAATCCTGCCCAACTTTAAAATATTAAAATAATTAATTAAAAAAAAAAACAAAAACAAAACCCACAACCCTCTTTGTCTTCCCCACCCGACACCCCTCCACCCCCCTTAGTCCTCGCTTTGTCTCTTAGCTATTTCATCAAACACTTTCTCTGCATTCAAAACCATCACAAACCTGCCAACCTCATACATGCCAACCCACCCATTAATTTCATTCAAATAAACATCATCCATTCCCACCTAACCATCAGTATAACAGACAAGTAACCTATTCAAAATCCAATGCCATTTGGCCTTCCCGTGTGACAAATTGTAAATGAGTGTGGTGGCTGGACGGGTGAATTTGTCATTGCTCTCAACAATGGAGATGATATGAGTAACGGAGGAATGGAATGGACTTGAATTTTCAAGGGAATTCGCTATGGGTTGCCATCTCTCTCTTGTATCCTAAGTCGTGGAAGTTTTTGGTGATCGAGATTAGGAATTTCAGCGTCATCAGAAGACATCGGGGCTGGATCAGAATCGTACCCAGCACCAAGAGCCAAGTCATGGCGTAACAGAGCAAGGTTACGGCAGATTGGTGCAACTGCAGAATCCACAGCCTTGCAGAGAGTGAGGGTAGAATCCTGAATTGCACGAAACTCAGCACACATCGAAGCTTCAAGGGAGTCAATTGTAGTTGAGAGGCGTGCATCCATGGCAGGAAGATGGGTTGGGTGGGCGTGCACATGAGGGAAACCAGGATTCGAGAAGGATGATATCATTGATAAGATCCAAATCTCTAAGCCCTTAATCAACCTGCAAGTAACACAGAGGATAGAGAGGGAGAGTGAAGGAAGCGAGAGATGTCGGGTGGAGCCGTGGAGGGGGTGGAGGGGATGGAGGGATGTCGGGTGGGGAAGACAAAGAGGGTTCTGGGATTTTTTTTTTTTAAAAAAAAATACTTTTATTTAATTAATTAGTTTAATATTTTAAATTTGGGTGGGAAATTTTTTTTTTGAATTTTTAATTTCCATATGGACCCCTTAATGACACATGGTGCCTAATCATTGTCCTCATGGGTTCCATGTCATTAGTTAACGAGAGACTTAACAGCCAGACTAATGGATGTATGAGACTTTCCCAAAATTAACACTTTAGGTATGACTCTAGGACGAAAAAAACTTCATGTACTAAATGTTGAAAACCACAAAACTTGAGCGTAGTAAACTGAGATTTACCCTAGATTTTAACAGTTTTAATATAATAGTTTAATTCGTTTAACAAAAAATATAACAGTTTAAACAATGGTACATCTCATACGCTAGTGCATTATAAATAACCTTAAACCAAGTAGAGAGAGAAATTGAATTGACATAAAATTACCTATTATTAACCTTTCTTATCTTTGTCACAATTTGACAACATTCACCATACCTCCAATCCTGTCATCAACTTTATATTTGTTGTTTGTCTTTGAATTTGTTAAAATATTCGTGCAAAAGAGTTGAGTTTCAAGTTTAAGCTTCAATTGATGGTGTACTTTGACGATTAAGTTGGCGTCTTTGAGCTTGTCGATCTCGGCTTCTATAATCTTACTTCGTTTACTTTCATGATTTCGTTTATGCTGGATAACTAGTATGGCGGTTGGGTCCAAGTGGAGGCGATAACAAATCACGAAGTGGTCAATCCCAGGCATGTCCTCTGCGGACTAAGCAAACTTGTCTTTGTTTTCGCATAAGAAGTTGGTGAATAGTTCATTCTTTTGATCGGTCGATTTTGATCCGATCATAGCTTGGCGTTTTGGTTTGTCGAGATCGAGGCTGATATACATAGCGTCCTCATCTGTCTTTGACTTTGGAGTGCTGTCGTCTTGGTGGTTAAGATCTAGGTCGAACTCTTTGTAACTTGTTTGTTGAGTCCCAAGCTATGACTGCTATGCTGATTCGTCTATGAGAGTTTGGAAGGAGCACCGCTCTTCATTCCCAATCATATTCTTGCTTTCAACAACACATCAGTGTGCCCTCGCTTGGTCTCCTTTGATTTCTTTATTCCATCCGGAATGGCGTAGCGAAGCAGCTAGTGGTAGGTTGAGGGAATGATTCTCATCTTGTTCAGGTAGTTTTGACCGAGCATGGCATTATGAGGAGTCGAGCAACCATAAAATGGAAGGTCATTAGATGTTTGTATGCCTCTGCCTCAACCACAAGTTTCACAGTTCCCAAAGACCAAATAGAGGTTCCGTTGAAGGTATGAAGGTTATTTTTTCTATTGTTGATGTTGTTGAGGATTCTTATCTTCTCGACTGCGTCTTTGAAGAAGACATTGACTCATGATCCATTATCCACCAAAACTTGGCTAACCATAATGTTAGAAATCTATACCTTGATGGCAAGATCGTCGTTGCGAGGGGAGTAAACATCTTCTAAGTTTCGATCAAAGAACATCAAGATGTTAGAATCAATAGGTAGTGGTTATTGATTGAAGCCACCATTCAAGGCTTCTTGCTTGTTGCCTTCCTTTCCTTTCAAGTCTTTCCTAGATATTCCTATTTTTCGTCTATGCAATTGATCCTGGATAGTGATTCTTTTCCTGACCATCAAATTGGGTGAAGGTCTTGAATCTTTCTAAACTTTCTATGTCACATTTTGGGAGTAAGTCGTTGGGGCTATGCGCATAACTTAGATCAACGGTTCTTGTTGGGTCTAAGTAGGCATTACCTATACCATTGCTCATTAAAACGGGAGACGACATCTTCAAGAGCCTTTACTTGTATCTTGAGGTCAGTGAGTCTCGCTCGTTCCTTAGATAGTGAGCTTATTCAGAGATCCTTTACAGACACATATATCTGCAACATAATCTCCCGTATTCGGTCCATGACAGAAACATCTTCGTTCTCGCGCATGCCTAGAAGTGGTGCAGTCACAATGTGATCTCTTTAGAGGGCCTTCATAGGGGTATAATGATATGCTCGAGATGGATATGAGTTCACTTCCAATGAAAGCAACAATTGTTGGAACCAAATTCGTGCACTGCCACAAGTGATGGAGATGCATAAATTCGAGTAACCTGTAAAAGAGTAGACAACCGTGAGCAAGCTAAAGACTTGGTGTGTGCTGGTCAAAGGCTTTCAAACAGTCAAGTTAGTAAGCAAAATAACTCAAATAGTGGGCAAGAAAGTTAGAGTGCGATAATTGCGTTACCAGATATGAACCCTAGAATGACGTATTTATACCAATCGGGAGAGAGACCTTTTTAAGATAAAATTCCTTATTAAACCAGGAGAATTTCAGAGGATATCTAGGAGTAGATATTGCATGCCTTTGGGGGTGTGATTACTTGTGGTGCACGCCAATTCCTCAATGTAGGAACTCCAAGCATATACGAAACCTGGTTGATTTCGTGTTGGATCAAGTTCCCGTAACTTGCGGAACAAGTATGGTCATTCTTAGTGAAGTCGTTCAGACTTCGCCCATTGCTCAGTTAATCCAGCTCCGCTCAGAATTGTTGAGTCCATGACTGAACTTCTTAGATACTTGTATTCTGGTCCACCTTACTCCGGCCCTAGAAAATCATGGTCCCACAACTACGTCCCAACTTCACACCCTACTCTTTTTCTTACTGTAGATTAGTGTATAATATCGTTTGTACTTGAAAAAATCATTAAGCATATGTCCCTATGCGTGTGGTTTCATTATTTGTGCGTTTTAATTAGGGCTAGTACACAGTTTTTTGCAGTTTTATTTTAGGGTAAAAGCAAAGCCGAATTTTTTTGCGGTTTATTCATTTTAATTGGAATCGAAGTAAAATCAAACCATTCAGGTTTAGTTCAATTTGGTTTTAATTTGGGCCTAACTTATAGGTGTGTTAAAAAATTGGGCTTACCTTACATGTCTGTTTCGATTTTGGGTTATCAACTTTTTTTTTTCAAATTTTAATTTTACAATTTTTTTTCCAGTTTGTTTTAGCCCTGAAATGGGAGAGAGGAGCATTTTAAAGTAAGTAAAACCATAACTGATAACCACTATACCAAAGTTCAAGGAAATTCCTTTTGGGTTTGTTTCAAAATCAAAAGGGAAAAATAAATTACAGCAACCAATGACCTCTATACTAAGATTCAAGTATCCAAATTTAAATCTTGTATGGATTCCGCCAAATAACCATTACCCAACACCTAACTTGCTAATTAAATTAAATATTTCTTTATAATGCGGTTCGGTTCTATTTCGTTTCGTTTCCAAATATTAGGAATCGAAACCAAATTGTTATTTTAGCTTTTGGTGTGATTTCAAACTGAAACTATTTTCAAACCGAAAAAATGAATCATTTGATGCAGTCTAGTTTAGTCTCGGTTCAGTTTTTGATTTTCCGTCCCAAATGCCGACCCCTAGTTTATATTATATTGCAGAAGAAAAAACTAAAACTTTGCACCTATATGGAATTTACATATGGGCGGAAAGCGGAGAAAACCGGGAGAAGTCGGTAAACATAGTAACCAAAAAACCACATTGAATAAAGAAACAAAAAGAGGGGCATATTCGTCAACATGCCGCCCAATAACTTGACCTCCTCCTCACCACGCTCGCAAAATCCCCCACCTCAAATCACAAACCCTAGCGCTCGCGAGCCCTCGGACACCGCCGCAGATTCACGCACCCCCGCCGCTCCAATCCCTCTCGGAGATGTCGCACTTCGGTCGATCCGGACCTCCGGACATCAGAGAGACCTACTCCCTCCTCGTCCTCAACATCACTTTCCGTAATTCTCCTTTTGCCCTCCTCCTCCATCATCGCCTTGCTCAAAATCCTAACTCTCTCCCTTTCTCTGAAACTCTCTCTCTCTCTCTCTCTCTCTCACTCTCTCTTTGTGTGTTTACAGGAACCACCGCGGACGACCTTTTCCCTCTCTTCGACAAGTACGGAAAGGTCGTCGATGTCTTCATTCCCCGAGACCGGAGAACTGGCGATTCCCGCGGATTCGCCTTCGTTCGGTATAAGTATCAGGATGAGGCGCAGAAGGCTGTGGAGAAACTTGATGGTTCCTCTCTCACTCTGCCCACTTATTAGCTTAATTAGAAGCTGGGATTTTTTAATTAATCAATTGAATTTTGATTTCAGGGAGAGTTGTCGATGGTAGAGAGATTATGGTTCAGTTTGCTAAATACGGCCCCAATGCGGAGCGAATGTAAGTTTTTCGTGTGATGTAATGGGTTTTGAGAATTGTGTTTGTTGCAAGTTTTGATTTTTTTATTGGAGTGTTGCTGTTTTAACAATTTTGGTTTGGTTTGTTTTTGATTTTCTAGCCACAAGGGTAGGGTAAGTGAATCAACTTCTAAGCTCAAATCAAGGTCCCGAAGCCGTAGCCGGAGCCCTCGTCCTAGGTGAGGTTTCTTCATTTGCTGGAATTGGGTAAAGCACAAATCGTTGTATTCTGATTAACTATAATTGGGTAATACCGATATCTTGTGTTCTAATGTTGCGTTTCTAGTCATGCATTACCACATATTGGTTTTGCAGTTTCCTTCTGAATAATATGTGCGTGCTGTATTTAGTTGGTATTTACAGTTCACTGTTTGCTTTAATACATCTACGCATTTAATTTTAGCAGCTGATGGTTATCAGTTGCCATTGAAGTGGACTGCATATATGCAAGGGGTATGCTGTTGTAGCATGGGGTGATGGTTGTATCATAGGGTGATAGGTGTAGCAGTCTGGACTGATCGATTTTTGTTTCTTAAACGTTATCTGGTATTGGTGTTTTTCACCATCCTACAACTTTTTGGGGTTTTGGTGAAATTTTCTGCCGAAGGAGTAGAGGAAGACCTGGGAAGACTTTGGAAGAGACTCTAAGAAAAGAGTTCGAGTACTTGGATCTAACGGAGGACATGACACAGAACCGAGCGCAATGGCGTTCTAGGATTCATATGGTTGACCCCACTTAGTGGGAAAAGGCTTTGTTCTTGTTGTTGTTGTTACACCTTCGTACATAATTTTTCTTTCTTTTCTTCATTTTTTACTGGGGGTTTGCACATCCGTTTTTGTTTTTATTTTTTAATGATTGGGGTCCTAGCATAATGGCAGAGGACCAAAGGACTCTTTAACAAGGCTCAGGTGTTTTGAATTCGAAATACCTACTTCTTTCGATCCTCAACATTCTTTCTTTTTTCATGTTGACGAAGAGCTCTTAACGATTTCTTAGTGCTACATGATGCTTTGGGTGGAGGGTGATGTCTCTGTTTCAGTTATTTGATTCTTACAACGGTACAGCTGTTCTTTGAAGCTGGTGTATTTTTTTATTTTTTATATAATTTTTTTATTGAGTTTATTAGTACAGTTATTCTGACATAGGCCTCTATTCTCACTGAACAGATTTTACATGGATTTAGGGTGTTTTATTTATTTATTTATATTGGGAGCTAATACAGCCATATGTGTTTGTTAGTAATTGTGTGCTTTTGGAAAGCTGTATCACTGACATGAGAATAAAATTTGTGGAAATTATGTTGCAGCAACTGACCCTAAAAATTTTCAGGTATCGAGATGAATATAAGGAAAAGGATTACGGAAGTCGCAGTCGAAGTAGGGATAAATATAGTCGTGACAGGCACCATAGGAGTGAAAGAGAGCATCGCTACAGAAGTAGGAGCCGCAGTGCAAGTCCTGATAATCGTAAGAGGGGCAGATATGATGATGAGCGGCGGAGTCGAAGCCGGTCATATGGAAGGTATAAAATATTGTTTCTGATAATGTCTTTTATCATGAATTATTGTGCCTTACTAAAGTGTTATTTGATGCTAACCTTTTGTACTTGAAAGTGCCTCTCCTGTTCGGAATAGTCCCAAGTCTCGCAGGAGCCCCTCTCCTCGTAGGAGCTCATCTCCTTGCAGGAGCCCTTCTCCTCGCATGAGGACATCTCCTCGTACGACACCTTCTAGGGTTGAGAATGTTCATGGACGCAACCGCAAGGAACGCTCTCCTACCCCCAAAGATGTTTCACCAGATGGACGACGTGATGATTCTCCAAGTCTTTCCCCTCGTAAATCTGATGCTGATGTAAGCCCATACACTTTGGGTAGATATTTAATTGTTCCTATTGTTGGATTGCAACATATTATCGCATGAATAAGTCTGTATGAGTCGTTTAAGTTGTTATATTGTTCTGCAGGAATGATGGACCCTCATCTATTGGCCCGAGATGATAACATTTGGCTTGACGCCTTGTGTCTGCATTCTTAGTTGGAGGATGAGTTTCATATTTGGATCAAAGTATTGAATGTTACTTTTGACTTCGTGCAGTTTTGTTGAAGGTTGAACATTTCTTTGTTGGACTCAGTGAGTTTTTTAACTCATCTAAGTCTGATGGTAGCCTTTTGTATTCTATTACTGGGCTGGTACAATATTAAGGGTTTGCTGTAGTTTTTATAATGGCCTTAGCAGTCCATGCGAATGGGAGTCTTCTGATTATCGTTTTACATTGCAGTTTTTTAGGTTCTATAATTAGCGTTTTTATTTTTTTCAAAATATTTAATCTTTTTGGTTTCTTTCTATTCGTATTTGTTTTGAGCTTTTTTATTGCTGGCATTTTTTCTGCTTCGTTATTTTTACTTATGTTTGTTTTTTCTTTCCTTGAACTGAAACTTGCTTTGTTCATATACTTACGGTGGACCATATACTGGCCTTATTTATTAGTGATGTTCGGGAAGAGTGAACATTGCTGATTGGTGAGATGCTGTAGCTGTACTAGCTGTTGGTGCTATTTCTACTACAGAAATGGTAGATGTCAATGTGTCGTGTCTCTGCTGATTGCAGTCTGGTCTTATCCTATTATCCTACTTGCACTGGTCGATAGTTTGGCCTTATGTAGTGGTATCAGGAAGAGTGAACTTGCTGATTGACGAGATGCTGTAGTAGCTGTTGGTGCTTTTTTAACTACACAAATGGTAGATGTCAATGTCATGTTCTTGCTGATTGCGGTCCGCTCTTAACCTGTTTTGCTTTCATGAATCTCTGGTTGGTAAGAGTAAAACTCATGTTTCCAGTCTTATATCCATCGGTTTTTCAGTTTTTTGTTTTTCCCTTGATCACACTGATTTTGCTTCACTGATTGTAAAGTTTTGGTCCTGTAAAGGAATCGGGGATGCTGTGGTTGCCTAAAGTTGGTCGGAATTCACTTGCCATTGCATGTAGCCGATGCAGTATAAGCTGATGCATTAATTATTTTTAGTAGCTGATGCGGTTTTTTTCTTATAGGAGCTGATGCAATTTATAGGAACACATTAATTTTTGTTTTGCTTTTGTTTTCTTTTCTGGGAGTAGAAAAAATAGCTGGGTGGTGGGCGCGTTACGATCGATCATTAGCTAGTTGCTGGCTGCCGCCGCAGTGCTATGAATATTCTCTAGTCATGCCCATATTTAGTTCATGTTCAACTAAAGCTAAGCTTGTATAATGATATTCTACTATTGTGCAATTTTTCTTTAAATTCATTGAATTTCTTTCGGGTCTTGGTACGACGATATCATTGTTAAAACTCCTGGATACACCTCAATGTGGCATCTTAGGCCGAAAGTGGTGTTACTTTAACTTAAAAACACTAGGCATTTCGATGTTGGCACTGGATGTCACTGTAGCGTGATCAGAGGTGTAAGTCTTGCGTCTTGCGGGATTTTTGTTACGCTGATGATTGACATTGTATACGTGTGACTGGGTCTTCGGACTCCTCACAACAAATAGAAGAGTTCGGGCTGGTTTGGGGTTGTGTTTTTGCAAAATGTAGCTTATTAAAAAATTTAGAACATCAAATATATATAGTAAAACAAAACAAAAAAATTGCTTATTTAAAAAATTGTTTTCAGTAGAGAAACATAGCAAAGTAAAAGCATAGTCTACCATGCGACCATGCTTCTAAAAAAGTTATTTTTTATTTTTCTTTTTCAAAACATAGTGAACAAGTGCCCATTTAATGATGCGTTCAAGGGATGTGTATATCTTTGTATATTTTACAAAATGACAATCTTTGGTTTGCTTAATTTTTTTTGGCAATTAATATATTACATTAAATATTATATCATTTTTAGTCATTTAACATATTTATATCAATTTTATATTAAAATTTACCAAACATTCAGACACTGTTTTTTATGTTAAAAACACTTTTACAACAAAAAAACTTTACCAAACACTCAACAACTTCATTGTACAATTGTTTATTCTCACAATACAACATAAATAATTTTTTATTTATTTTTAGGGTAAATTACACTTTACCACCTTAAGTTTGGGATCGATTTCAATTCTTTACAACATCTTTAAAACATTTCAATTTTATACCTCAAGTACTATTTTATTTCAATATAATACATCTGTTACATTTTCCATCCATTAATCCTTTAAGAGTTGACATGACTGCCACATTTGTGCCACGTGGCAAAAAAAAAAAAATTTAATTGAAAAAAAACGTCCCTTCCCCCCCCCGCCGGGGCATCTCCTCCACTCTCTTCACCTCCGCTAACCCCAAAACCCAGCCCATTTGAGCTACTCCACATCATCTCTCTGGCTTTTCAATTCCAAAAAATCCATTCCAGAAATCAAAGGGCAATGGAATCAAAAACAAAAACCCACAAAAGTGCAAGAAACCTAGAAGAAAGAATGGTCCTTGCAGGACTTCGAGATTGGAAAACCCATCTCCTCCACTCTCTTCTTCTTCCGTTTCTTCTTCCCTCTCAACCCACCTGGCGATGCCGTGAAGAGGCCCGTCTCGAATCTGACTTTCCACGACAAAGTCGATAGCGAGGAAGAAGGTTTTGTCGATGGGGATCCAAGTCGAAGATCCGAGACCAAAATGTGGCGGCGGCGAGGCGGTGGGTTTGCGGGGATGGAGACGTTAGTGGGCGAGGATGGAAAAGTAAGGGGTTAGCGGGTTGGAGAAGAAGGAGAGAGATGGGGGAGTTGGGGGTTGGGTTCTGCGTTTTCCGTTTGTTTTGTTTTGTTTTTTTTTTTTTTTAAAGAAGATTTAGGTTTTAAAAAAAAAATTTAAAAATTATTTTTTTGCCACGTGACACAGCCACATCAGCTCTTAACATATCAATGGATGAAAAATGTAATGGATGTATTATATTAAAATAAAATAGTACTTGAGGTATAGATTGAAATGTTTTAAAGATGTTGTAAGGAATTAAAATCGATCCCAAACCTGAGGTGGTAAAGTGTAATTTACCTTTATTTTTATTTATTTTTCAAATCACAACAATACCAAACTAACCTTAAGCTTCTAATAGGAGAAAATGCGAGATGTAGTAAATGTGAGATGCTTTTTTTATGCAACGGGTGCAGCCTTTAAAAGGTATGACTTGGTCCGATTTTCGATCTTACGCCAATAATTTGAGGACTTGCCCACCAAAAACCGTTGCTGAGTCTTTACAAGATAGACTGTCGATCCTACGCCACTGCAAAAGTCTGCTGCAGCCCTGAAATAATTGTCTTAGAAAAAAGAAGCCTAACTCGAAAATTGGTTTTGTGCACTTCTTGATCATGCTTCCTGCTGTTGGGGCATTTATAATTGCTTTCTATGCAATCTATGTCATTTTGAGAAGAAAAAGGAACAAAACGAACAAAGCGACATTCAACCAAAGATTTGAATTGCTCGCAATATCAATATTTGATGGAAAATATTGTACGAAGAAATCGTAAAAGCAACTGAGGATTTTGATGCTAAATATTGCATTGGGAGAGGGTCAGTTGGAAGTGTTTACAAAGCAATGCTACCCTCAGATGACTTGGTAGCAGTTAAGGACTCCACAGTCCGTGTGATGGTGGTGAGTGGAGCAATCGAAAGAGTTCTTAAACGAGGTAAGGGCATCAACTTCGATATGCCGACGGAACCTTGTTAAGCTTTATGGTTTCTGTTAACATTTGCGTCACTCATTTACGACTACCTTAGAAGGGGTAGCTTGTATTCAGTCTTGGATAATGATGTGGAAGCTAGGAAGTTGGACTGGAGTAAGAGGGTGAATATCATTAAAGATGTGGCTCATGGTTTATCCTATATGCACTTTAACGTGTCTCTGCCAAATGTTCATTGAGACATATTCAGCAAGGACATTTTGTTAGATGATACATATGAAGTTCGTATTTTTGACTTTTCTTTCTGTCCAATTTGGTATTGAAATTTTTTTCTGCCAATTTCATGGTTTGACATTTCATACACTGTTATTCTGACATAATTAACCATAGTTGACTTGGTAAGTGAGTTAGAGAATTCTTATTTGGGCATGGTGGTGATTGAGATGTGATATATTAAGGTTTTGATTACAAGAACGAAAATTCTTCTTTCAGGTCCGAAAACAATACAAAAGAGAAGAAAGACCCTGCAACCTCAATCAAACTTTGAAAAAGAACACAAATAACACAAAAATCGTGTTTTTCTTAAAAAAAAAAAAAAAAAATTTGGAGTAGCGTTTGCCACAAGAAAACCAACGTAAAATTTCATATTCATATTTCTATATACAAAATGAAGGCCAGAGATAAAGATCTCGGGTTTTGGATTTCCGTGATTTCTCTAATACACTGAAAATGTGAAAAGCGGCAAATCAAAGAACATGTGCATAGAAAAAAGAATTGAATTTGAATGCGCCTCACACGCCTTGTCAGTTTCTTCCTTTTTCTTTCTCCAGGTGAGTTTTGCTTTGTGCTTTTCAGCGGCAAGGTGGATCTGGTGGACGGTAGTAGAGTGGCAGTCTCCAAACTATCAGGGACTGCTGTTTTCGAGTTTAAGTCTACTGATTCGAGGGTTTTGAAACGAAATCATGTTGAGCCTGAGATTGTGACTGTTGGTAATGATGATGATCAACAAGCTGCGATGGAGATGACCAAGCTAGTGATGGCTGTCGACGGTGTCAAATTGAGTTGGAGAGACAAACGTCTGAATGTTCAGAATGGATTACATGCTCTGGATTTGGATAATTTCAAGTGCGATCTTGATGATGAGTTGGATTGTGCAGTTATAAGGGGTGAACATGGCCCTAGCTTTCAATTTTCTGAACGAGCAATGAAGAAGATGTGCGAGCCATGGGAGAAGTCATTAATTGTCAAGTTATTGGGTAAGCCTCTGTCAATTGCTGTTTTGTATAATCGTCTAAAAGGAAAATGGGGCCGAATGTTGGTTTTAAGCTTGTAGATTTAATTAATGGCTATTTTGTTGCAACTTTTGAGAAGAAGGAGGATTTGGAATTTGTTCTTACTGGAGGACCTTGGGTTATTTCGGGTCAGTACCTTGTAATTCATAAATGGAAACCTGGGTTTGATGCTAATTCTTCCAAAATTACTAGGATTGTTGTTTGGGTTAGAATTTCAAGAATTCAAGCTGAATTTCTTGATGTTTGGGCTCTGAAACAAATTGGTTCTTTTCTTGGTAAAGCTTTGAAAATTGATGCACTGAACTTGGCTCGGGCTAGACGAATTTGCTCGAATTTGTGTTGAATTGGATCTAACTAAACCTTTGGAGGCTTATGTGCAATTGAATGGTGCATGGTTCAACTTAGAGTATGAGGGTCATCCTGATATTTGTTTCAAATGTGGAGTGTATGGTCATAGAAGAGATAGTTGTATTGTCATTAATGAGGTGGTTGGTGATGTTTCTAGTGATGTAAATGGTATGAATGTTGATATTGGTGGGAAGGAGATTGGTGCAAGTGCTGGTTGTATTGTTAATTCTGATACTAATGGTTGCAATATTAGCGTTGATGGTTCTGTTAAGGAATCTGTTTTGGGACCTTGGATGATTTTTCAAACAAAGAGAAGGAGTAAGAAAATGAGTGGGGATGTAGCTTTTGGTAGTAATAAAGGAGCTACTGGGTCTCGTTTTTCTGTGTTATCGAAAGAAGATAATTCTCCTCCAATTTCCAAGTACTAAAGTTTGGACTCCTAAAGTCAAGAAGACCACTATTTCTAATAGAGCTCATCTGGTTGATATTTCTAATTCTGTGCATAAAAGTGATACTCAAAGGTTTTATGAAGAACACTGATGTGGAAAATTCTAGTGTGATTCATCCTCATTTTGAATTTGGTGAATCTGTTTCAACTGATTGGTTTCGCAGTGAGGATTGGCAGATACTTGTTGCTAGTCGCTCAATTGGTTTTCAGGCTTCATTTAATGGGCATGAACCACTTAACATCCATGCTCAAAGTAATTGTAGTGAGATGGACATGACCATTGGTAATGATTTGCATATGCAAGGTCAAGATGATTTGGTGGGTGGCAGTTCGTTACCTATGGATGATATGATTTCTAAGGGTGGTCCTTATTCCCATGTTGGGGAGGGACCATTCTTTTCTTCTTGATTTACCTGATTGGGCCCCTTCCTCTATAGTAGTTGATATGAATATTTTAACTTGGAATATCAGAGGAGTTGGGATAGATTTGGCTGCCACGACTGTGAAGAAGTTGGTGATGCAATATAAAGTAGATTTGTTGGTTGTTGTGGAACCCCATATCAGTGGGGATAAAGCGAAAGAGATTATTCGTAATTTCGATTTCCGTAGTTGGGAGATTGTGGATGCTACAGGTTTTTCTGGGGGTAATTGGCTTTTATGAAATGAGACTAAAGTTAAGGTGAAGTTTGTTGAAGCTTGTAAGCAAGCTCTTACTGTTCAAGTATTTTATGATTGTAGGCGTAGTTGGTATTTTTCTGCTATTATTGCAGCCCTGATATTAAAAAGAGAAATGCCTTATGGGATTTTTTCTATAATTTTAAGTCTAGATGTGATCTTCCTTGGCTTCTTGTTGGAGACTTTAATGAGTTGTTGGCCTGTGATGAAAAGAAAGGGGGCTCTGGAAGCTTTAGTTTGGGTGGTTTTAAGGATTGGTTTGATGCTAATTTTATGGTGGATTTGGGATTTTCGGGTCCTTTTTTCACTTGGGATGATGTTAATAAAAATGGTGTAAGAGTCTTTGAAAGGCTTGATAGGGCAATTTGTAATCTTGCTTAGAGGGAGATTTTTCTAGAAGCCCATATCAAACACCTTGCAGAAACTATTTCTGATCATACTCCTATGCTCATCACTTTGGAAAGCAAGTATATTCCCAATCCAGAGTTTAAACCGTTCAAATTTAAGGCTATGTGAATGAAGCATGAGAATTTCAAGCATTATTTGGAGTCTAATTGGAAGTCCCAAGATGTTGGTATAAATTAGATCTTCTTTTTGGTAAGTTGAGATGGTGGAATAAAAATATTTTTGGTCGTCTTGAGTGGAAGATAAGAAGGTTACTTCGAATTGAGGGTGTTCAAAAGGCTCTATGTAATAATTGCAGGCTTTTTTTGGTTGAGGTTCAATACTTCCTTATCTAAGGGTTATAATAATCTTCGAGTAGGAGGAAATTTTTTGGAAGCAAAAATCAAGAGTTAAATGGCTTCAGGAGGGAGATAGGAATACAAGGTTCTTTCATCTTTCTACCATCATTAGAAGGAGAAGGAACAAAATTGAAGGTTTGTTGAATAATGATGGCGTGTGGGTGGAGGATACGGAGGATCTCAAGCAGATTGCAGTACATCACTTTTGTTCTTTATTCGCTGATTCTTTTGATGGAACTTCTAACGGTGTGATGCCTAATCTTTTCCCTTATGTCAATCAGTCTTTGCTTGGTGCTTTAAAAGAAGATGTGTCTCTTCAAGAAGCTAAAGATATTTTGTTTTCTATTGGTGATTTTAAGGCTCCTGGGCTAGATGGTTAACCTGCTGCATTTTTTTCAAAATTTTTGGGGGTTATGTAGCTCTGACATCATTTGTCTTATTACTGAGTGTTCTAAGAAGGGCTCTATTCCAAATGGTCTTGGTAGTACCTTAATCACTCTTGTTCCTAAAGTTGATGGCCCTCAAGATATTTCCCAATTTCTTCCTATAAGTTTGTGTCCTACTTTGTATAAGGTGGTAACCAAAATTCTTGTTAACAGATTGAGACCTATTATGAAATCCGTTATCAACCCTAATCAAGTTAGTTTCATCCCTGGAAGACATATTACTGATAACATTATAATTGCTCAGGAAGTTTTGCATACGTTTTCCATCACTAAAGAGGCAAGAGGCTATATGGCTTGGAAAATTAATTTATCTAAAGCCTATGACAGACTTAGATGAGATTTTATAAGGGAAGTGCTTGTTGAAGTGGGTATTGATGATTTGACTGTCAAGCTTATTATGGATTGTGTAAGTAAAGTGGATTACAAGATTGTAGTTAATGGGGAATGCTCAACCAGTTTTAGGCCGGAGAGAGGTGCTAGGCAGGGTGATCCTCTCTCTCCTTATCTTTTTGTGTTATGTGTGGAGAAGTTGGGGCATCTTATCAGTGAAGCTGTCTCTAATAAATGTTGAAAGCCTGTCAAAGTGGCTAAAAAAGGGCCTGCCATTTCACATTTGTTTTTTTGTAGATGATATTATTCTCTTTAGCGAGGCTTCTATTTCTCAAGCTAAAGTGGTTAAACGTTGTTTGGACACTTTTTGTTGTTTGTCTGGGCAACAAATTAGCTTTGAGAAGTCTCAAATTTTTTGCTCTTCTAATGTGGACAGCAGTGTTGCTGATCTAATTAGTGAAATTTGTGGCTCTCCAATTGTTCAGGACTTGGGAAAGTATCTATATGTGCCTTTAATTCATTCTAGATTTAATTCTAGCACCTATATGGAGGTTGTTAACAAGGTTCAGAGTAGACTCTTTGCATGGAAAGCCAACACTTTATCTATTGCTGGAAGAACTACTCTTATTCAAACGGTTGCTTCAGCTATTCCAATGTATATGATGCAGACATGCAAGCTCCCAGTTAGCACTTGTGATTTAATTGATGGATTGAATAGGAAATTTTTGTGGGGTTCTTTTGAAGTCAAAAGTAAAACTTGTTTGGTGAGATGGAGTTCTGTTTGTCTTCCGAAGAACAAAGGTGGTTTGGGTCTTAAGAGAATGAAATACATGAATGTTGCTCTTTTGGCCAAGTCCAGTTGGCGTTTGTTACAACGTGATGATGGTCTTTGGGCTAGTACTTTCTGAGGTAAGTACCTAAGTGGGGTGAATTTCGATATTCTCAAATGGCCAACTGGTAGGGTAACTTCTAGCTCTTGGAAGGCTGTGGTTTATGGTGGTCTATTGTTGAAAAATGGTCTTATTTGAAGGGTTAGCCCAGATGCTAATATTAGTTTTTGGTTTGATGCCTGGCTTGATGATGGCATTCTCGCTGATAAGGCCTTGATTACTTTGGATGATTCTGCTAAAGCTTTAAAGGTTATAGACTTTTGCTATGGTAATTGTTCGAATGTTTCTGCCTTGAGAGTTGTTCTTCTGGAGGAATATGTTTGGAAGATTTTTGCGATTCCTATTGGTCTCAACGATGGAGATAGTGATTGTATTATTTGGAAGCATTCAAATGATGGAAATTTTAGTGTTAAATCAGCTTATCTTGCAAGTATTGATGATGAAGTTTGTGCCGATTGGAGTTGGAGTGATATATGGAAGCTTAAGCTACCTCCTCCAGTGCTTCATTTTTTATGGCTGACTCTGCATAGGAGATTGCTTTGCAATGAGCAGAGAGCTAAGAGAGGTATGACTGATATTTCCTATTGTGTCTTTTGTGATGGTTGTGTTGAATCTATTGATCATATTCTTCGATGGTGTGATCGTGCAAAGTTAGTGTGGAATCAATTGGGTATGCATTCAATTGTTATGTCCTCGGTTGATATTGACTTTCATGATTGGATGAGAGTGAATCTTTTTTCGAGAAGTTTGCTTTGCCATAATCTGCCTTGGTGGGATGTTTTTGCCTTTGCTTGTTGGTGGTTATGGAAATGGAGGAATTTAAGCATTTTTGCGTCTGATTTCATTTTCCCAAGTCAACCTTAGATTTTCATTTTTAAAGCTGCTAAAGAGTGGTTTGAGGTGCAAAATGTTGGTGCTAAGCCTGTGAAGAGTAGGATTTTTTTAGCCTGGGATCCTTCTCCTCCTAATTATGTCAAGTTGAATGTGGATGGCAGTAGGAAGAGTGGCAAGGGGTGCTCTAGTGCTGGTGGGATTTTACGTGTTGTTGCAGGTGTGTGGATTGTTGGTTTCACTATAAATATTGGTGTGGGGAGTGTGCTTAATGCTAAGTTATGGGGTGTTTTTCATGGTCTGTCTCTTGCTTGGAGATTGGGTTACAGAAAAGTGCTTGTTGAATTGGACTCCGCTGTGGCTGTTACTTTAGTAATGGATTTTAATTCCTCTATGCACCCTCTTGTTCATCTCATTACTGCTTGCTGGGAGTTATTGAGCAGGGATTGGATTTGCTCGGTTTCTCATGTTTATCGTGAGAAGAATAGAGTGGTTGATGGTATGGTAGATTTAGGCCATAAGTTTGACATTGGTCTTCATGTTTTTTGTGAGCCTCCTCCTCTTGTGGATAGGTTGATCTTGAGGATGCTGTTGGGTTTCCTCATACCCGTTTTGTTAATAGTTAGTTGTTTTTCTTGGGTCTGATCCAATTTAGTAAGTCTGAGGAATCATGTTTCTGTAAGTATTTGAGTATCTAATGTTTGTGGGTGGTTACTTTTATTGTTTTCTTAGGAATTTAACGTTGAGAATCTGCATGTGGTTAGAGGCTGAGAAGGGAAGATTAAGCAAAGGTTTGATAATTTTTTATTTTTGTCAAAAGGAAAAGCATGTGATTTTGTTACTCTGTTAACTCTCATTCGACATGTATACTTGTGTTTATTTTAAGTATTGTAATCAAACTTGTTAACTGCGCTTGTGCTTGAACGAGTTGAGGACATAACAGAACAAATTCAATAATACCTTAACCAAGTACAGACTATTGGTACCGGTGTACCGCATGCTGATTGGTTCTTTATGAGCTGATATGGTTTTCATAATGTTGCATGTTATTGATTTCAGTTCAATAGAAGGAGCATATGGTGTTATAAGAATGCAATATTTACCTTGATAATCTCAATGGTAATAAGGATATAACTTCCGAGTTTGGGGTGCTGCAAATGACTAAAGCTTATAGTTTTCTACTTGTTCCTTATCTCTATGTCATTTATGATGGACCAACCTTATCAATTTTTAGGAGTAAAGACCTCCTGACGATCATCAAAGATCAACGGTCAAAACTTGGTTAGTTTTGTATATGTTAGAGTCAATGTTAGTCAAAGATATGTTAGAGTTTTTTAACTTTGTTTAGCTGAGTTGTCTTCTAGTTAATCTGTGTATATCTGAGTATTTAGTCAGCTTTGTAACCATTATTCTCCTGTAATGTAAAAATCAATTATCTCACACGTTTTAACTAGTTGAGTTTAATATCAATAACTCAATCATCTCCCACTGAGGGACTGCTACATGGTTCTAATGAAGCATGTCATCTGAAAGAGATTGTTTTAACTAGGGAACCCGAAGCCACCTATGCACAGGAGCGTGCTTGTATTCAGAAGGTAAGGGTTGCATATATGTGTTGTCACATAGGATGGTGGTAATGCGAGTTCAAATGGACGACTCCAGGAACGCCTATAAGTTTGTAGGGCCTTTGGAGATTGCCAATTCAAAAAGGTTCTATTTTCTCTTCTGCAATGCTTTCCCCTCTCGTTATTTGTTTCCTTTGTTTTGAATGTAACATAAAACAATTGTTTATAGCTCTATATTGAAAAAGATCAAATCTGTAAAACATGTGCTATTGTTAATAAATATAGCTCAAGTTATTATAAATTGGGAATTTTATTTTTAGACAGAAAGTCTGTGTAAATGATTCTTTTGTAATTACTAAATATGCTTGAGTTTATCCATCCACTTCTCTGGGGACCAAACCATAGTACTTTACTCTGCAAAAGATGGTTGAATTGAATGTTAATGTACTAGATGCCTTGATTGTATTATCTCTGTTTTTCCATTGAATGAATTAACTACTCAGTAACTTTAGCTGAATGCGTTGGGCTGTGACAACCATAAATTATCAACAACTACAAGAATGTTAAGCAATGTAATATAGTTGTGCAATGTATTTGCTAACTATTATGATAATAAACATGAGGACTCTGTATTCTTGTTATCTTGAGCGCCTACCATGTCCTGAACTACCTTAGTGCAAAGAGTACCAAATATGTAATTACGCATTATATACACGATATGCACACGACATGCACATGATATGCACACCATGTGTACTACATGCACATGATATATATACACAATGTGCTTAGTTTCCTGTCAAAACATACGTTTTCAGTGATTCTGTTTTGTTTTGGTTTTACAATGTATATAACTGACCTTTCAACTTCCATATGCATGTTAGGTCTTGGATTTGTAACTTCAATTACATTCATATTTCTCGTTAGGGTGCATCTGTCCTGGGCCTTGGAGAAATGATATTTTGTTACCTGATTATGAAATGTCCAGTGTTGGCTATTAAGTATGGTTACGCTGGTAAAATGAGAACGTGCATTTGACAAGAAAACGTCGGGTACATTTGTAGGGTAAGTATTTTTGTGAATTCAAGTGGTGTATTTGTCATTCTTATTTCTCTAGTGTATATAACAAATTTTATTTGATTGCTTTAGGCAAATTAAGATCTACAATATTGGACCAAGGCTTGTAGGTGTTGATAGTGTTGGCAATAAATATTATGAGAAGCTTAACACTTAATATGCTTAGTGTTTTCTACATTTCCCCCCTTCAAATTCAGTACAATTTCAATGACGACGTTCTTCTTCAAATTCTCTTGCACTTTTGATGCTAAAACCAAAGAGGTGCGACATTGTACACAAAGAAAATTCCACTGTGTGATGCGTAAATTAACTTAACACACAAATTAAATCCTCTTTTGACAATTGTAGTATATAATTAAGTAGGGATCGTTCTTAAACCAGGGATTAGGAGGGATTGCTAAACACTTTAAACTGACTCAAATAGATAAAACTAACCTTTTGAAACACTTAACTTAAAAGACTCAAAACAAGTTCACAAGACTCAAAATAAGCTAAAAACACTCAAAACTGCCTAAAAAACACAAGCTGGGCAGATTTGACTCTAAACACAAATTTGGACGAATTTTGGTTTTAACTTGACTCAAATCACTTGAAAACACAATCTAAAACAGATTTTAACTAGTTAGACACTCTAAAATAAAGGGGGATTTGGTTTTGGACGAAAATAAAGTAAACAAAACAAGAATTTAAACTAGGCAGATTTGTACGAATTTGGTGAAATTAGATGGATGATGGGCTAGCTAGGAGGTCTTTCTCCACACATGACATACTTGCATACAAAACAATCTCCAGATGCTTTTTCAATGAATCATTAACATCAACACCCCAAGTTAATTAGGTACGCTTAAATTAACCTTCAAATTTTTCTGAAGTCATTGAATTGAATGGAATTAACGCATTGCAATCAAATTATTCCTCAAAAGTTCTCTACATGAAAGCGCATAATAGAGAAACAATCAAAGATCATTAAATTCTACGAAAATCATAAGTGTTGACGAGGCGTTTGTAACTATGAAAGTGCATGGGACTTATGCCAAGAATTTACTTAACATGATTGTGACCAACAACCTTTACTACTTATGAATATAAGTTCACAACGATTAGGGGAAGCTTCCTTATACCCTAGCATTAGATTTATGCATGCAAATTAAGTGTGCACTCTCAACCCACATACACAAACAAGTTTTAATTCAAACAGATAAGTAAATTGGATTCTTCATTCATGAAATTACAACTGGAAGTAATCAAATCATATTGCAAATATAGCCATGGTTTCGAAATTCCCCCTAGCTAAAAGGGGATTAGTTCCTCATACTCACAAAGCAAAAATTCTTGAAATTAAACATTGAAAAACAAAAGAAAGATTACACCTAAAATGTTTCAGCAATTCCAAGTCGAATGGCATGCACGGCTAGGGCTTTCCTTCTTCTTCCTTGCTGTGGCACAAGGTGTCCGTGATGATTTTGGGGGTTATGAACGATGTATTCTTGCTTGGGATGATGAATGATGGTTGGTTATGGTGAAGGGTTGCGGCAAATTGTGTATGGAGGTGTGGGGATTGAATGGATGATGGAGAATGGAGGCTAGGGCTTGCGGCAAGGATTTTTTGAATGGCATAAGGGGTTGATGTGAATTTGTGGCTGAAAATATCAATATATAGTTGGGCCAACCGTAGGGTTAAATAGATTAGGGTTACAACTTAGCATATTTTGAAGAATTAGGGCCCTAGGTTTCGGCACAATTGATTTAATCCACTTAGGAGAGGATTTGGCCCAATTAGTTTCAGAAAAGGATTTGTGTAACCCAAATCCACAAGGAATAAGGCATAACAAATCAGAATCCAAAAGGGATAAGGTCTAGAGAGGTGCGGCAACAATTGGAGGGAAAGGAAAGTGGCTTGCAAGGCAAGGCAAGGCATTCTAGAAGGGAATAGGCGCCACTTTTGTAGGGTTTTGATAGGAGTATATTTAGGCAACTTACTTAGCTTATTTTCGTGCATCTATGTTGTTAATTCATAGTTGTTTTAGTAGTTTAAGCCATTTTCGTGTGTTTTTAGGTTTATATGGCTAAGGAAGCAAAAAGATGCATTTTGGAGCATTTTGGAGCAAAATTGGGCTTGGAATGGATAGCATATGATTGGAGCCAAAGTGTTGGACGAATTTGAAGGCCTTGTATTCATTTTGGACATAAAACAAAGGGCCTAGCCCATTCTCTCTTAAACCAACCCCAAGGCCATGCATTTCCTTCCAATTCCAAAGCCCACAATCACTTCAAAAGCCATGCAAAGAACCATCCATTCCATCAAAAACAATTCATCAATTCACATGCAAAACCACCATTAACACACATGCACCCAAACAAAGCCAACCTAGCTAACCCTACATGCATTCTTTATGCAACTCTTCATCATACCACCATTCATTCTTTATTCCACAAACAAGTCACATGCATTTCCACCTTCCTACTTCATCATTTCACCACATTCTCCCTCTTTAACTCATTTCATTATTCATTCACTTTGCATTCATTCAATTCCACCCCACATGCACCCTTTATTCTTCATCATTGCAACCATGGCACATTTACACCAACAAAACAACTCCCATGCCATGGCCTACTCATATTCCCATTTCCTTTCCAACATCTCACATGCATTTCCACCTTCCTACTTTATCATTTCACCACATTTTCCCTTTTATTTCCACATGCAATTCTTCATCATTGCAACCACAAACACCTTAAACAAATAGCCATATACATCTCCACTCCTCCTATAAATACCCTTGCATTCATTCATTCAGAAATCATCTCATTTCATACACAACACACCACAAACACTTCCATCTTCTCCCTAGCCGTGAGTTCCTCTTCATTTTCTGCACCATTCCCTTCCATTTCTCCTCCATTTCTTCCATTTCCATAATCCCCCAATCCATTCAACACACAACAACATCCCTTAGTCCTTGTGCCACAATAAAGAGGAAGATAAGAGGGCCTAAACGTTCATACAATTCACGTTTGAGTTGTTGGAATGTTTACGCGTTTCTTTGATTTCAATGTTTAAATTCAATTCTCTTTGTTTTGTAATATGAGGAATGGAAGAGAAGAGTGCCTAAACGTTCATACAATTCACGTTTGAGTTGTTGGAATGTTTAGGTGTTTCTTTGATTTCAAAGTTATGAGGAACTAAACCCTTTTTGGCTAGGGGTGATTTCAATACCATGATTATTTATGTAATATGAATTGATGAATTCCGGTTATGAACTCTTGATTCGTGAATGCAATTGGCTTAACTATTTGATGATTAACTTATTTGTGTTTGTTGATTGAGGGTCGACACTTAATTAGCATGCATGAATATGTGGCTAAAGTTTAAGAAGGTTTCACATAATCGTTACTAACTTATACTTGAAAGTAGTGAAGGTCGCTTGTCACGATCGCGTTAAGTTTAATTCTTAGCATGAGTAACATGATGTCATAGTTGCAAATGCTTTGTCAATGCTTATGGTTTTCATTATTCTTAATGATCTTCGATTGTATCTCTATTATGATGACATGTAGGGAACTTTTGATAATATTTTGGGTTGTCGAATGATGCCATCCAATCCAATAATATAAGGAAAATCTGAGGGTTAACTAGTGATGTCACGGTTAATTTGGGGCATTGTCGTTCATAATTCAATGAAGGAATAACTGGAAATTGATTCATATGCATAAATATCATGTGTGGAGAAAGAACCTCTAGCTAATTCACCAACCATCTTATTTCATCAATTACATTCTGTCTAGTTATTAACTTGTTTCGTTATTTCAATTTTCGTCAAACCTAAATCCCCCTTTTGCTTTAATGTTCAATATAGTTAGAAATCAATTTAGTTTGTGTTTTTAAAGCATTTTGATTCTTTTGGTTTGTCTTAGTGTTTTAACGTTTAGTTTCACATTCTTTGAGTCTAGTTTAGTGTTTTATATTGTTTTTAAGTTTTTAAGTCAATTTAGAAGGTTTTAGCAAGCCCTCCTAATCCCCGGTCTAGAACGATCCCTCACTTATCCATTCTACTACAATTGTCAAACGAGGGTTTAATTTGAGTGTCAAGTAATTTTCGCATCAGGTTTCTAGAAATAATGTGCTTTGTGGCTGATTTGGGCCTTCTAGAAGAGAATGCTTCTAGAAATAGGTTCTAGAAGTATATATTTAGGTCCCCTTGCAGCTAGGATTAAGACATGATAAGGTTAGGATAGGATAAGATAAGATAAAGTTTTAGATAATGTTGGATAAAGTTGGATAATGTTTTGGATAATGTTTCCTCTTTTGAGCTAATTTCTTATCCTCTTTGTCTTGAGTTTAATTTCTTCATCTTCTTATCAGATTTCTAGCCTTTTGAACTCCAAATTGGTCCATCTATGTTGGCCCATACATGTGATATCCATTTAGTGCCCAAAACTGCTCCAAAATGCACTAAAATGCACTTTCTTGGTACTTTACCCCTTTGGACCTGCAAACACACGAAAATGAGTTGAAATACTACATTAACTAAGAAATAATAACACAAATGCACAAGAATAAGCTAGTTAAGTCGCCTAAATATGCTCCTATCACTGTGGAAGGTGATGAATTTATTTACCATTCCAAAAGGGCACAGCCTCAATCCAGGGCGGAGAGACCGAACCACATACTAAACTTGGGAACTAGCCAAGAAGGAGCGAGTAGTTTCTATGACACGTGCGTGCTCAAACTTGAAAAAAATCGGCTATATTGTGTTGTGTATTCCATTCGGTTAATAAATGGAATGTGATAGCTGTGAATCTTTTGGATGCTTGCTGTACGTAAATAACACTCCTAAACTTGATAGTTTAATTAAATACTGGTATTTTGATTTGTCAAGGGGTAAATTATCTTAGTTCAAGTCTAAAAGGTTGTGTTTCACACTTCACAGTGTTTATACTTAGCGGAACGGTGTTCGTCCTGCGATGTGCATGCTTTCAATATGTAGTGTGCATATTATGTGCATGTGTTGATCATGCAATGTGCATGACATACACAGGAGCATGCAATGTACATGACGAGGATGCAATGCGCATGACATGTGCATCTTTTATGCATGCAATGTGCATGAGCAGTTAATATCCTTTCCGAATGATTATATTTTTCGGCGAATCAACGTCAGAAATGATAGCGGAATTCCAGCTTTTGGCCCCTCTTGTTAGCTCAAACAGTATGAGGGAGATAAGGTGAACCTCACACCGGCAAAATCAGAGGCTAAGCTGCTCCATGAAAAGATCTCAGACAACAAGGCCTACAATGATGACGATATCATCAGGATTCTGGCTACGCGGAGCAAAGCACAGACCAATGCAACTCTCGATCACTGCAAAAAAAGAATTCGGGAGTGACATCAACAAGGTATGCAGTTGAGTTTTACGCAATCCCATTTTTGACCGGAATCCTCTTAGGCTTGGATTTGATGAGTGTTTCCATGCCCAGGATCTGAAAGCTGACCCCAACGAGTACCTTACTAAGCGCCACGAAAAAGTGATTGGTCCGCCCTAACAAGTGTTTTGAAAAGTCTCTTCGTCTGGCATTTAACAAACGAGGAACAGATGAAGGAACCCTCACTGGAGTTGTCGATACGAGGGCTGAGGTTGACATGAAGATTATCAAGGACCTGTACCACAAAAGGTACAGCGTCCCTCTGTATCAGGCCATTAAAGAAGACACTAATGGAGATTATGAAAAAATGCTTCTGGCCCTGGTTCGGCATGAGGATGCTTGATCTGTTCCGGTCTAACGGTTGTACTTCTTTTCCGAGGAAGGCAATATTTTTGAATCCGATATGTTCTACTTACGACAGAGTAATAGTGGGAGCTTGTTTTTGTTTTACAATTGAAGAGCATGTTTTTTTTTTCACTATTGCAATGCATCTTTCTTGCAGCTCAAGTTAAACATCCTTGTTCATAGCACCAAAATCATTAGTGTTTTATTAGTACACCTCGTGAAGGGTTTCTTAGAGGCAAGAAATTCCTGGATAGAATCGCTGTGTACAACTTTCAGCCCACAAGACCTGTCACTTACAAGCAGCACAAGAGGAGTTGAACATGAGAGGAATACCCAGCGGTTTATATATATAACCTGAAAGAGATGATTGTCCGGTCATATATAAACTATCTCGACCTCAAGAAAGAAATCCCGGCATCACATTTATACAACATCGAATCAGAAATCCACAGTTTCGACAGTGGCATATCATACGTCCAAAGTTCAGATCAAGACACAAAAACAACAGAATATTACAAGAAGCAACTGCATCAACGATTCAAAACTCTGTTTTAACTCCTTCAGACTTCTTAATGCCATCCATAAAACCAAAATTGCACTCTTCATCTGAGGATCGGTAAGAGATTTAGACGAACATCCCGTATCTTAGCTAGGGCCAAAATGAGAGCAGTTATTAGCAATTAACATAGAGAACAACAACAAACAATCCAATATAGACTAAAACACATCACTTCTTCAGAAGGTCCCTTGAGAAAATCCTCTTGCAGTATGGACTGGTGCGTAAGATTGTATGAGGCTTCAATGCTTCGACCAGAGCAGCATGAAGAGGGCCCTGGCAACGAAACAAAATGATTAGGACGTGTGTGTGAGTGAGAGAGAGAGAGAGAGAGAGAGAGATTAATTTCTAAACCTTTGTAACTCCAAGAGCAGATTGAATCACGTAGTTCGCATAAGGGTCTTGTAGCAAATGATCAAAACGCGGAAATGAGAGCAATTCGTGGATGATTTTAGGTCGGCTCTCTTCAAAGTACGTGAGGCACTTTTCAACAACATGACTACTGCACTTCTGCATGGAGAGGCGTACAAAATTTCCTTTTAACTGAGTAGTCAGTTTGGCCATTGCAGATGGGATCTTCAGTTCTATCACATATTGAACAACATAATTCCTACGGAGCAAATGAAACAAAATAAACCCTCACTTCAGTCATAAAGCCGAATCACGTAGTTTGCATAAGGATATATCGTTAGTCATTTCAATAGATTTTGATTTGAAGTTTGTAAAATACTAAACTGGAAGTTAGATTAGAAAAGTGAGGAAACGAACGAAGTAACACAATGGTTGGAAAGGTGATGTAAATATGTAAGAGATCAGCCTTATGTTTGCATTGAAGTGGATCAAAGAAATTGCTGACTGGAAAACTTTTGGTTACTCGAGAAACAAAATTTATCAAACAATATCATATTAGGGGTTTATGGCCAGCAAAGAACAGAAATTATGGGAGTTTGAAGATGCTCGTTAATGATTACCCATAAGGATCTTGTGAAAGGAGAAGTCCATTTCTTGAAATTTCAATGATCAGCTTATCTCGATGTCTCCCAATGGCATGTGCAATGCATTTTTGTAGTACACAGCATCCATGGCGTTGAGTTGCAATCTTGACACAATATCTTGCAGCAGCATCAAAAATAAACTACAAGAGATGATTAACAGAAAGATGAACAGAATAAGTTCAGAGTCTTTTCAACAAAAAACAAAGTAGATCCTACAGAAAGCACATAACCAGTCCTTAAAGCTTTGTTTGGAATTTCAGTAGTTTAATCTCATATGTCTGTAAAATGCTTTTAAAGTAAACATATATTCCAGTCCATCCCGCCAATCTTGTGATGCAATTCTAACAAGTAGGATCGTTAAGAGCAGGCTTACAGTCTCATATTGAATCTGATCAAGCATTCCTTAAAAGTGTCTCATTGCTCTGCAATCAGAAGCTCTGTTTCTTTCCTTTTCATTAAGGTTTTCAGAAGCAAATTTGCAATTTGGCTAATCCATAGAACACTAGATTTGCACAAAACATGTTGGAAACAACGCCCTAGTTTATCTCTTTGCGTTGATTTTTTCTGGTTCTTTTCATTGTTCCCATATACAGCTAGGTAACAAGCGATTCATATAGTTTTAGCACTGCTACCAAAAACTGAGTCTTCGGTTGTGGTCCTTAAATTCAGACTGACGTCTTCAATACTGCGGAGAGTAGTATATATGAAAATATCTTGCATACATCTAACCCGCCCCGCTGACTTTTCAGCGTAGAAACTCACCAACGGATTTCAGAACACATCAGATGAAACAGTTCACACCTTGAATATGCACTTCCAGCAGTATTATACAAAAACACTCTACAGCTACCCAAGTAATGAGTAAGAACATCATTAAGGTTCACATTATTTCTTGCATTAGAATAAATTATACGGTGAACATGTGAAGGTTTATGGACATAATGTACTGAAACAGTGCATTACCTATGGCAAATACATGACTTTACAAAATATTCTATTTGCAATTTTGCATAATAGTAATGATCAACATAATTTTGCTTGACTATCATTAGCATTTGCATGGTTACCACATAAAACTTGTGAGAAAACACAACAGAAAAAGAAGAAAACATGAATCAGACGGTATTCATTCAGAAAATATTTATTCTTAAGAGCCTATTTGAACCTGGTCAATTTAACAAGAAATATATTTGAGTAGAATCATACCTTATTGTCTTCGTTGCTAAAGCAATCCAAGCAACGTTGTACTACATGATTGCCATTTGGATCCTTAATAAGATCAAGAAAACCGCATTCAAGGGATGATTTAACTAACGCTATCTGTTTCCCAGGTTTCACAGTCTCAATCAATTTCTGTACCACACGAGTCCTGAAACCATAGCCAATTGTATTCAGGAACATGATATCAGTAAGGAAAGAACAATACAAATTTAGTGACAACAAATGAATACAGTATGAAGAATATACCCATGTGTGTCTAAGGAAACTCTGACAAGCTGTCCTGGTTCTTTTATCACCTTGATTACAAATTGCATTCTTTGTTGTTCATTGCAAACATCCAACAACTTCTGCATAAGGTAATTGCCAAACGGGTTTGTCATAAGTTCGAAAACATGGTTGATTATTTTGTCAAATATTAGTTGCAAATCTTGGCTAGTCCCCTCATCAAGCATCCTTTGTAAGAACCGACAGCCGTACTGATCCTTTGCAATGAAATATATATATTCCTCAGCCAATGAACTCAAACTTAGAACTGACCAAAATGAGTTATTGTCACTCTGGCTCCATTCATTTCCACCATCATATGAATCGGAATCAAGTCTGGAGCTTTTCTCTCCTGTCGGCATTGCCATCTTAGAGCAAGAGTTCTTCTTGTAGCCCCTTGAAGACTTGCTACCTTTACTGGTGGTGTGATTCAAATGGTTTCCTTGCATGATGGAACTATCCTCGCAACCATAACCCTCAAAGTCCCGTGCACAATTCATGGACTTGAAAGATTCAGGAATCCCACTAGTTGGATTCACTCTAGTCCTTTGTTTTATCATTGAATGGTTATGTGAAAGATTGTCCACATTCAACTTAGCAGCCGAGGGGAACTGAGGGGAACTCATTGGATACATAAGACCCTTTCCGTCACTAGAACCCGATTCACGTGGCTGTAAGCAAAAATAGTCCTCATCTGGGTAAGACCTAGCACTAGATGGGTTCCTCTGATACCAGCCATCTCCCTGTTCCATTCTTTTAACACAACTAGGCCCAGAATACAAAGCATTGGGTTGCATATGATTGCGAAAAGACCCCATTGAATCGCCAACAGTGCATTTCGGCTGCAATCCAAGTATTGCTGACTCCATAGTCCTACCAAATCTCCCTCTACCTCCCAAACCCGCAGATTGAAACCCATCAAAATCCGAAACATTGTTCTTAGAACTCTCAAATAGGCCATAGTTTTCAGCATTCCAAGGACTAGTCCCCCCAAAAAACCCACCACCGAGTCCAATCCCATCTGGGCCTCTCTCAAATCCCCACCTTTTAGTCCCATTTTCCTGTTCTTCCCCAATATGCATCCTATAGAAACGCTCAGCCAAACCCAGATCATCCGGGGGCGGCTTAGAGTCCAGGCACAACCCGTTCACGTAAGGTGTTTGATACTTTGCCCCTTCAAATGGGGTTGAATACGGAGACGGAGAACCGTCGCCGGAGGAATAGAACCCATTTGAGAAAGAGCTCGACGGAGAGAACTCCGACGGCAGAGAGGCTCTGCTCACCGGAGAGTCGCCGAGAAAGTGGTGTTGGTGCGGAGGATGAAGGAGGTGGAAAAGACTGGAATAATGCTGAGTCCTAGTTGGATTCTCATTCCAGAGCTTTTCCAGCTCTCCTCCTTCCCTCTGTAAAACCCTCTTGTCTTCCTCAGACATTTTGAACATCATACAACACACAACATACAATATATTATATATATCTAATATAAAATACACGTGAGAGAACAAGAAATATATAGATATATATACTTTTTCAGAGGAAAACAACGAGAACCCAGATTCAGAATCCGAAACCCCACGTCGGAAAACGATTCGGAGGCACGGGAAACGATCAGTAAAAGACGATCACTGCTTGTATGTCAATGTCGTTTTGGGGATTGGATTTTCGGCGATGGGGTTTCTAGAGAGAGAGGGTTTCGAATTTTGGGTTTTTCTGTGAGTATGTGGTAGTACAGTCTGCGACCGCCTCGCACACTCACGCCATTAGACCCTAAAATGAAGAGTCGCACTACAGCGCTCACCGCCCACAACTCACTACAACTCAGGAAAAAAAAAAACAGAGAAAGAAGAGAGAGAGGGAAAGAGGAGAGGGAGAAAGTCCGAGAGTCTGACTAGGAACTAGGCAAAGGCTATTTTTCAGTCTTTTTCTTTTTTTTTTCCTAATTTTCGGGCCCGAAAGAATATCTAATTTATTTCTTGTATTGTTGTTCCTTAATTAATCAAGTTTTTTTAATATTTGATCTTTTTTATTAAACGGTATCTACTTCTTAAACAGAGCTTTGAAATTGTTCTAACAAATCGGCTTGATTTTCTGTCGTTTTAAAGTTTAGTTTGTTATTGTTTCCTCTTAACTTAATCCGATTCGATATTGTTTCTAAATCTAAATTAATTATTTTATTTTTAGAGTGGGTACTATATTCATTTTTTTATTGAAGTACCATATTAATAGGGTGAATGTATTTTTTTAATTACGAGTAAACTAAGAGTAAGAGTCGACCAGAAAAAAAAAAAAAAAAAAAAGTAAGAGTAAGAGGAAAGGTTTATCATATTCACCAAAACAATTCACTACTTACAAAAGAGTAAATGAATAAGTACAATAGAATAATAGTGTTCATTTTTTTGTAAACAATAGACGTGTTAGATTAGGAAGCCAACATGATTCGAACCTACACCATAGTGCAATGGTAAAACTCTTATCCACCACTGTGATAGAGAGCCTCTCACATAGACCTCGATAAAAATCTTTCTCCAAAGATCAACCCAACCAAAAGAGAGAGAAAAAAAAATCTCACATCTACATCACAAGTTAATGTTATCCATTAATAACAAATCACCTATCATCAGGAGATTTCTCGAACCAAATGTCATCATATTCTCTTACAACAACATATATGCAGCTGCTTTCCAGAAAAGAAAAAAAAAAACACACACACACACACATATATGCACATTGTTAGAAGAAGAAAAAAAAAAGTAATTAATCAATTAATCTTAATTAGTAGATTTATTTATGATAATTCTTTTTAATTTTTGACAGTTGTTTCTTACTGCCTGCCTGCGCTGCGTTACCTTTCTGGCCAAGTCTTATACCAAAATTAGAAAAAGCAACTTTCAGTCCAGGTCAATGTTTGCCATTGGATTGGAGCTCAATTTAAGCAATGGAATCGCTTCTTCCTATTGGCTGCTGCAATTTATTTCATTTTTTGTTTTTTATAAACACAAAATAATTCAGAAAAGTTAATAAACTAAAGACCCAAATGTAAGTGGGCCCCGCGTTTAAAAATAAAGTGTTCAGAAGCTAATCGATGATTGGCCCAGGAATTTGTGGGTAGCCCAACAAATTGTCTTTCCAGCTTCCGAGGGTACGGGGGGGTTGGTGCCATAGGGACCAGGCACCTAGGGGGTAGGGCACCTCCAAATTGGAACCGTATTCATTTTTTCTCCTATGATTTGAATTGGGAGTTGTTAGGAAATTATCATTGATTGTCTGTTAATTAGCACATGAATAAATGGTTCTTTCGATGTAATCCAGGTTCTAAGAGCATTCCTAGTAAGGAGTTCTATATGATGTTGAAAAAATAGTAGATGAAGTCTATTTTAGAGTTTCGACGAATCTTTGAAGCTATATCTTTCAAGCTTTATATGATACTATATATATTTATTTATATAGTAATTTGATTAAGCGATATATATATATATATATATATTGTGTTAGCTTTTCTTAAGTTGATTTTTTGATGTAATATCTTAATTTTTTTTTTTTAATGAACCTTTCAACCTAAAAAGTTCAAATTGTGATAAAGTTAGATTTCATTCGTTGAAAGAAAAAGACCCCTACTTTGCCCTCTGAAATAATTTGATTTTCATGTATAACACAATAATTTACCTAGCACCAATTGGTAAATTAGTATCATACAATTTTGAAAAAATTTATTTGAAAATTTCACCCACCAATGCTCATGAACGTTAAATCAATTTGAAATTTTAATTTTTATGGAATTTAAAACAATCATTAATTAGCCAAATTGCAAGAAAAAAAAAAGTAAGAAAAAAGAAATTAATAAAATAATAAAAGAAGAGAATAAGTGCATTCGCAATTGAAGGGAGAATGATAGAATTTTGCTCACATGTGTTGCTAATTTTTTGGGGCTAGATGTAACCCGATTTTATGCTTCCCAAAAAAGGAAGTTGCTAGCCCCAGTGGCGGATCTAGCCCCATTTTTCGGCTCATTAGGGATGAAGTTTCTCGCTAAGGCTTGAAATGTAGTAGTCTCATGGAGGATAAAGCCCCCATTAGGTATGCTCTAAAAGACGTTAGGCGCTAGTTGGACGGTGGGTTGGGGCCTTGGTGGATTTAGGTAAATATATTATATTTCATATAAATAAGTGTCTTGTTTATAATTAAAATATATATAATTTCATCATAAAATACAAAATAGTCATAAAATACAAAATAGAATGACATATATTTTATGAAGTACTGGAACATAATTAAAACATGAGAAACAAGCATATAATGTGTATTCATTTAAGTATTCAACAAGTCTTTACAATTTATTTTAAAAAATAAAATGCAAAATAAAAATTTATTTTATGTCCAAGTGAGTCGCAACCTAATTGGGTGCCCAGGCAGGTATGGGCGGGCTAGGCGGGTGCCTCAGCAGGTCTAGGCGCTTTCAAACGCCTAGGCATTAATCGGAACGATGACCAACCGTCTAGGCCTAGGCGGCACTAGTCGGGGATTTCTAGAATAGTGTGTAAAACATAAAGATTTGAACTCAATTTGAGTTTGTCTTCGGTAATTCAACTTATCCAATAGTCCGATATTTTAAACAATCCTTCCTGTTTGATTTCAAGAGTTAATTTTCACCTTAGATTTCCCGATTACTCAAAAGTCCCCAACAATTTGTTTTACCTGAATCAACTGGATGAGAAAAGAACCTCCTAAATATTCAAATATATGTCACTAATTCCATGGTCTGCTAATATCCTTTTGATTCTATATAGTTATTAGTTCAAATATTTGTCACTAATTACATAGTTCATTGTATTGTACCAAAGCAGTAGGTCCGGCTTGTGCACTACACATTATTTTATTTTGGGAATTTATCAGGAATAATTATTTTTTGACATTTGGTTGCAGAAATAATCATTTTTAATAACGTGATATATTGATTATATATCGACAACACAACAATGACATAACGATACTTAATCATTTTTGCAACTAAATATCAAAAATTGATTATTCCTGCTAATTGCCCTTGTATTTTTTAGACGTTCAGTTTCAATCAATCGACACCTGCACACCCCTCGCCTTCCCTAGCACCGTCGATTTGCAGGCACGGCCCCAGAACGTGGCTGAGGTGAGCTCAACCCCAACCGAAGAGTGTCCAGTGCAGAAAGCTCGTTATAGTAGGCCCATCAAGCCCACCCCACTTAATCCAAACCCAACCCATTCAAACCAACCCCAAACAAAAATTTTTTTTTTTGTTTATTTGTATTATGGAGTTAGAGATTTATTAACTACAGATACAGGGATTGTGGAATGGAGGAAAATAGAGATTTTAGCTTATGCTTGTGTATACAATACATTGCTAAATTTAGCAACTGATTCACTTAGTACTACGGTCTGATAGTATTTCTCTTCACTTGGAAGTAAGAGGTCTTAGGTTCGAATCTCGTGAATAGTGAATTCGATATCAAAATAGGTTAGCTCAGCCAAACTTCCCCTTCCTTTAATGTAAAAATATCAATGTATTAAAAAAAAAGAGCTACTAGACCCACCCCACAATCCTATTTCCCCACCCCACCTTATTTTCCCACCCTGCTCAAAAGATAAAAATGAAAAACACTCTTTTCCCACCCACTGATATTCCTAAACTATCCCTTACAAAGAAAATTAGTCACCGCCACACATCCACCCACTCGACGGCAAGCAACCCCCTTCTCACCGTCAGCCAACTCTGTCTCTAAAAGGTTAGAGTTGTCATTAAAAGTATGATTAAAAAGTGGGTGAAGAAATAATGTTGATGGGTGGGCTTGTGATTAAAAATCCAAGCAAATTTAACGGATGAATCTGAGCCGTTCCACTACAGCCAGTACAGACTACAGCTGCTAAATCTTAAACTCCTCCAGTTACCGGTCGGATCAAAATGGTCGGTTGTGCTCTTCACAGATATGTTTCACGGATTGAGGCAACTTCAACAAGTACAAGAAGCAAGCTTGTCCGAAACGAGGTTGGTTTTCTATGGGGAATCCAGAGCTCCATAAACACCTAATTCACATCAGTTCTGGCAACCTTCCACACGCAGATTCCAAAATATATTTCCGAGAAGCGGTTTCCTCCGAAATACTTCATCTTTCTGACATACAAGAAGATTTGAACCGATGATCTATCATTTCCACTTCTTGACCTATCACCACTAGCCTAATTCCGTTTTAATGCCACTTAATCTAGGGTTCTTCGGAGTTCAAAGTACAAACACAAACAACGCAAAATAGCCAAAACGATACCAGTAATCAATTTAGAGCTACTAATCCATAGATTAAAACCCAGTAAAACAGCCCAAGCACTTCATTAAGAAAAACACTGAAAGAACACAAAATATGGACATTGGCAACCCAATTAGCAGATAGTCCATAGCTCTGGCCTACCCCGTTATAACCTAAAACATAACCCAAAACCCACAATGAACAAAAGAAAAGGTCAAATAATATAGCATCACGTCCTCCCGGCACTAGGAGAAAACCAGAAACAAAACCAGACACCATGTGATCAAATAAAATAACCAAGTTAGACCTAACTTGATGTTAAACCAAGGCAATGCTGCTCTCTCCACCTGGGGGTTTGCGTACGCCTCCTAAGTAGTCTCGAGCCTCCTTTTTCCCATCCGCAAAGATGTTGCTGCCACTCATCTCTCGTAGTTTTGCCGAACTCAGTGGCTTTTCAGCCGACGACGGAGGAACATTACCCTTGAATATATCATTTCCTGAGAGCTCAGAAAATTTCTTGTCATATATCTTCTTGGCTGTCTTGGGCGCTGGTTCCTCGATGGATGTTATATTGCTCTGACCCCCACCAGGCTATTGCATAAAAACCAAATTCACAAGTCAGATGCTTAACTACCACATAATGGTAACAGATAATGATATGTATCAGGCGTAAAATAATGCAGTTCACTTACATTAGAAACCTTAACAGATGTGCGACCGTTGGGTGAAGTAGGTTCTCCTATCTCGATGCTTCCTTTCAAGGCCAATGCACGCGGGGCAGTAGTAGTCCTGGGTAAAATTTCAGGAGGGGGCGCAAATATGTCATGCCCACTAAGCTCCTTGAATTTAGACTCAGAGAGCTGCTTCTTCAGCCTTGCCTCTCTCTCTGCTTCAGTTTCCAAGGTCCCGCTTAGCTCGCGCTGCTTTGCAACTTCGGGAATGGTGGTAGGCTTTTTAGGAGAAACACCCTCTTCATCACCAAACGAGATATGACTGATTCCAGCAACCGCTTGCTGCCATTTCCGACCATCAGAAGAAAAATTCAGCAAGAGGGTTTTGTGCTAAACAGACATACCACGCTATAACATCTGTGTTTTAATAATGAACATAAAACTTGACCACATATTGATCGGTACCTGGTACATACGAATTCCGGGCTTTGGGGTAGGGTTCGCACCATCAGCTTCCGCGGCATCGTTTTCTGCTTTCGGTGCAAAAATGCCGCTCCCGGTGATCTCCTTCATCTTATGCGCTGAACAAGGTTTGCTGGAAATTTCATAGTTAAACAATGTTAGAGGTCTTCCATATTACATTCCATTACATATTTTTACCACATCCTGTATATTTTCACTGCATAACGTGATTCAAACTTTCCCCAAAACAAAACAAATTTAACATTTTACGAAAATTACAAAACCCATCATAAATCCGTACATAAATTCAAAATTATAACTCAGTGATTAAAAAATTTTTTTTGGGTGAAATTTGCAAAATTTATACAATATGGAAATTTGAATTATTTATGTGGATTCATAGGCCAATTAATGTAGATCGATCACAGATCATTGACTCAATCAATCTTCAAGTTTAAAAATCCAATTTCCATATTAAGAAGGGGAAACTTACTGGAAAATACCAAGCAAAAGTTCCAATAGAATATCCAAATAACAAAAAAAATATATATTTAATAAAAAGCAATATTTTTTTAAAAAAATCCTTAATTGCGTTTTTTTTCAAATTCATAAGCATTGAAGGAGAAATATCTGTTGCAGGAAGATTTCTAATGGCCACAAACAACGAGAACAAGGAAACAAAATTTGGAAAAAACACAAATCCCAGAAAATAAAATGCGAAGGAGAATTGGAAAAGCAGAAGCAGGAAGAAGCAGATCTGACCGTTTGTTCAAGCTCTCGACCTCCTCGTCCGTCACCTGCCCTCCAAACACCACCTTTCTGATCCCATCCGACGGCTACGATCAATCCCCAAAACAACACCAAACAAACAATGAATCATCAAATCAAAGAACAAAACGAGAGAGAGAGAGAGAGAGAGAGAGAGAAGAGAGAGAAAGAGAGAGAGAGGGAGAATTTGGAATTTCACCTGGTGAGGCCGAGAGGCGGAGGAGGGAAGAGGAGAATCAGCAGGGGGAGTCTCGGACCAGGTGAGCAGATCCGCGGTGGATGTATGGGGTTTCCTCACCGGAGTGCTCCTCTCCATTTCGGGTCGTGCCTTCGGATTCTCACACCGTCCGATTCACCACCACCACTGTCGCCGGAGCTTGCTGGCAAAATGACGGTACTAACCTCGTTCCGGAACGTTCCTCTGTGTCTGCTCTGGGCACGGAGTGTAGTGGGGGGGGGGGGGGGGGGGGGTGTATTTTAATGGCCTTTTTGGAAAGGGTGGAGTTGAAGGGAGAGTAGGAGGAGGTGACTTGGAGTGAGCTACTGACTCTTCCCTTTTTTTCTAATTTCCCCTTTTTTTTTTTTTGCTTTTTCTTAAAACGAAAGGATTAACGTGGGTCGGGTTTTATTTATACGCAAAAATATTTGAAAATTTGTACCGCGTACAAAGATACGAAAAAGATTCTCATCAAATCATTTTTGTGAGAATTACAAGAATCTTTTAATTACATTTGTTCATTATATATCAAGCAGTTAATTTTCATCATATATTTTTTATATTTAATTTTTAATAAAAAATTTACAATGATTTCTGAACTCACAATGTACAATTAACGAATGTGATTTGAGGATCCTATAATCCTTACAAAGAGGATCCTCCCTCCTAAGATATGGCCACCCGCTGTACAGGCACGTAGCGGTTAATTTAATTTGATTCAATTTGAAATCAATATAAGTAATATATATTTGTCCATCATTAATTATTTGAATTATTTCGTGAGAAATTATGTTAAATAAAGATAAAATGATAAAAATATCCTCAATTTTTATCAAATAAGAATTGAGAATATTTTTATCGTTTTGATCTTTATTTAATAAAGAGTTCTTTAAAAATGTCCTTGGTATTTTAGACTTTCGCGATTCAGCTGCCGATGGTTTGATGAGGAAGGGTTGGTTTTTGAAATCCGGCCCTTGGTTGCGTGGGTGTAGGAGATAATGTTATCAACGGTCGGATCGAGATGACGGCCCCAGAGTGTGAAGGATTTGAAATGCATTATCCAATTATTTGAACACAGGTGGGTTTAATCCTGTGCGGGATGATGAATTTTGGGCTTTAATTTGAGTTCAAGTCCCTTATGTCAAAACTCTTAGTTTTAAGCATAAGATATTTGAAGCATATTACCAAACTTAGATGATGTCATGTCAGTTGAGAAATACAGTAGATATCCTTAAAAAGAAAGTTAAAATTACCATCACTAAGGATCATGTGCACAAGTAGAAGGGTCTACTACATTCTTCTTGAAAACGAGACAATATGTCTTGTAATCGAATGGTATTACAGTCTTCCTACTCCTTTCAGAGCAGAATCCAGTATTTTTTGGTCGTGAATATCTAAATGAGACAAACCGTCCTGTAGATAGAAGCCCACTCTAGCAATATCGCGTGAGTGAAGTAGGGCAATGTCAATTGTGAAGCTCTTTCGTCAAGTGCACGATCATGATAGGACTTAAGGAAGATGCCCCAGGCTAACTTCGTTCTAGTAGCCGTAGTAAGACAGGGATGGGCCTTATTGATTTCAACGATAATGGATACATCTGGAAATACTCGATTTTATTAATTTCGGCGATGATAAATAGATTTGGAGAGACTCGACTCATGGAACCTTCTCGGTTAAAATTACGTACACAAATATAGGAATATTCGTTTGGGAAGTAAGAAGACTCTTTGACATCTTCACATTTGCGGAGAATTTCTCGTTGACATGGTAACGTAATTATTGTATGTATAATATCTAAATGACGCAATAAGATTTTTTTCGATGAAATCCTCGTGCACTCTATGTATGTAATATCATTATGTAAACAAAGTCAAAAAGCTTGTTGAACACTATTGAGTTGTTCTGCAAGAACTAGGAAAAACTGCATGATTTAGAGGTCTCCACCTCCCTCCATGTGTATTTTGAGTTGTGTGTGCGTGACCCAGAAGTGCAAAATCTCGGTCTCATTCGTGGGGCAATGTCATGTGCATTGCCGGGCAGTGTTTCACGTCTACTCTAAATCCCGCGTAAAGCTTCTCTCATTCTCTCCCGGTTTCTCTTTCGTCAGAGAATTCTCCTTTCTTTTTTTCTTTTTCTTTTTTTTAGTAATTTGCCCCTCTCTTCTATCGACGTATGATTTTTTTCTTGAACTTTTATTTTGGCAGAGTTTCTCGTGAACTAAACTGTTATAATTGACTAATTTCACCGTACGTATAGCGGTACTCACTCACATTTTAAAGGGTGTGGTTTCAATGTTTTAGTCTATAGAGTCTATAGATTGGATTTCCACAACTATTAGATATTTCATTTTTAATCTTAGTCATTTATTTTCTATACCACTCAGTGTTATGCACTATTAATGAAAAATTACGTTTCAAGAAATAAAAATAACTAATAACGAATAAAAATGAAGGTAGGGGTGCATCTCCGGCCATGCTTTCTATTTTTAAGTCAAAATTTATCTAAAAGACTATAAAGTTACTTTGGGAGCTCCCTAGAAAATTTCGACTAAAATTTTAGGGAGAATTCGAAAAGGATAATACTTGCATTTCCTGTCGGGGCTCATTCCCTTCTTGCAAATAATGTATCTTGATAGTACAAGTTTCATAATTGGAACCATTAAATTTCTTAATCTTCATTTGAAGATCACTCCTCCAAAATATCATTTCAATTGAAGATCATTGAGTCATTCAAATGTATAAAAAAAAAAAAAATTCAACAGTGTAAGTACTAAGTAAAATATTAATGATGAACCATTCATTTATTTGATATATTTTGATGATTAAACGATCTCCAATTCGAATGATTTTTTGTAGGATTGATCTTCAAATGAAGATTTATAAATTGAATAGTTCTGATCATTGATTTTACTCGGTCACACCACATTTGACACAAATAAAAAATTTATTTTAGAATTTGATACAAACTCGTTGGGACATTATCTATATCTCTAAGGCTCTAAATCATGATTTTGGTGTTTTAAAAATTTAATCTAGTTCACCAAACTCGAATTTCAGAACGTAGGACTAACTGTTTCGTAACTTAATTAAACTTAATCGCCCTGTAACGCTTCTTTCAATCCTAATTTTTCCATAGCAACTTTCAGAATATTTTTCCGATGCATGAGCTTAATATTGTTATTTACCTTCTTTTTACACAATAAATGCATTATACGCCGAAAAAATATTTTGAAAAGTGCTAAGAATTCGTTGTGATATTGTCTACTATGATAAATTCCTAAAATAATTTTAATCAAGTAAAAAAAAAATGGAATTGAAAGAAGCGTTATAGGGCAAGGAAGTTTATAAATTAAGTTACGAAACACTTAGCCCTAGTTTGGTACTGAGGTGATTTTGAAAAAAAAGGCTATCAAAAAAAGCTTTTATGTTTGGTAAACATTTAGCTTCAACTTTTTTCACAGTTTTGAGTGAAAAAAACCCAAAAACACAAAGTTGTAAAACCCAGCTTTGAAAAACCAGCTTTTTTCACATCTCTTTTACATAAAAGTTAATCAAACACTATAATACTGTTTTTTTTTTTTAAAAGCACTTTTACAAAAAAGTTTACCAAACACTCTGCTGTTTTATTTCACAGCTGCTTATTGTCATAGCACAGCAAAAGCAGTTTTTTTTCAAACCATAACAATACCAAACCTGCTCTTAGTCCTATATTTTGAAATTCGAGTTTTGGGAAATATATTAATATTTACACACCAAAATCATGATTAATTTAGAGCTTTAGAGAAGTGAAAAACGTCTCAACGAGTCCGTAGCAACTTTCAGGAAAGTTTTCGACATATAATGGATTTATTACTAATACTTTCTTTTGTTTTTCATAAAAATTGATAATAAATACGTTATGCATGTCGGAAAAATATTCTGAAAAGTGCTATGAACTTGTTGCGATTTTTTTACTATGAAAAAGTCCTAAAATAATTTTTAATCAAGTATAAAAAGTTAGAATTGAAAGAAGCGTTATAGGCACGAGGAAGTTTAATTAAGTTATGACACAGTTAGTCCTACTTTTTTTTTAATAAACAATATTATCTACATTAAAGATAGGGGGTAGACTTAGCCTTAAAATGGATTAGTAATAATGTGATTCAAATTCGTATTTGACGAAAATCGAACATAGGACATCTTATTTACCAGTGAAAATGAATATTACTAGACTGTAGTACCAAATGACCATTAATCCTACGTATTGAAATTCAAGTTTGGGGAAACTAGATTATATTTTTAAAACACCAAAATAATGATTTATAGCCTAAGATATGTAGGAAGTGTCTTAATGAGTCTGTATCAACTTTTGGAATATTTTTACGATGTATAATTAATTTATTACTAATTTTTTTTTTGTTTACTTTAATGTATTATGCACCGGAAAAAAATATATTCTAAATAGTGCTACGAATTTGTTGCGATGTTGCCTACTATGATAAAGTTCTAAAATAGTTCTCAATTCAAATTGGTACCAAGTGGAATAACCTACAATTTAAAATCTATATACATGCTTGTATGACTAGTTAGCAACACTTACCAACTAAGCTCAGATATGTTAGTTTACTCACAATATAAGAAGTCAAATTAAAGTTCAGTTTACTAAAAAGTTTCTAGTTAACTAAGATTCAGTTTAGTGCACATTTTAATATTGACAAGTTTAGTTGCAATGACTTATCTATTTGTGGATAATGATGAACATATATCACAAGCAAAAGGAAGATGAGTATACTAGTAAAACGATAAATTGCATGGGATGTTTTTGGCCGGAAAAGACCCACCTCTGGATTGAAAAACCGGAGACTTTCCACTAAGTCCAATCCGTTAGTGAAATCAAGATTCTTACAAAGTAACCACACAAGCTTAATTCCTAAATCCTAATCTATGGTGTAGCTTGTACCTTTGTGCAGCGTTGCCTTTCACGAGATGAACTCCTTCGGTCTACATGAAGTGGCAACTCCTCCTGAGCTCATCACTTTGTGGCACTGAAATCTATTCAACCTATGTAAATGATGTTATGATGAAGTTGATGCAAATTTGTATTCGATGTCTAGTTAGTTTCACCCATCAAATACTTAAAAGATGGAACTGAAACGAATCCAAAAAAAGGTCAGTTCAAAGATTTGAAACTTAGAAAAACTTGACCTAAAACAAAGATCAAAATCACAAAATCAATGCTACCCTAATATGCAATGATGTGGCTACTTAGTGCATGAGTGTA